TATTGAATTTGAGTTAGGATTGTGATTATGTTTAACATTTTTCGATGCAAGGGAGATAACTCCTATTTACACAACGGCAACAATCTAATCGACACATTGATATTACCGATGCCGGGAAGAAGCGGTTTAAACTGCAAACTTCTTCGCAATTTATACTCTCAGTGCCTCTAAGTTACCGGAGAATGAGATTGGAACGAAAGGAACAACCAAATTACTTATATAATTCGAGTTTTGCCACCACACAATAACAAAGTGCCAAATTGAAAATGTACAGAAAAATATATGATTTTCATATTGCAATCGATTATTAGTGCAATTTTTTTTCTATCGTTTCCCAAGAAGTTGAATTAATTCTCCATTTTCGTTTCTGGGTCGTATTTAAAAAAGAAAATACACGAAAACATTGTCAACAGTTTTACCGTGGGAGCAGCACCATATTGAATAGACTGAAGATACCATTAAAACAACCGTTTATAGACTACAATTATCACGAAATACGAAATAAAGAATTTTAATTCTATCCGCGTTCTACAGTAACTGAACCAATATTGTGATATGCTGTTGGCAAATTATGAAAAACTATAAAATCGGCACACTACTTTCGTGTACATATAACAACATACATCATAGCAGAAAGTATAAACTCTTTCTATCTAAACTCCTCCCGATTCACATTTTACAAAGAACTCGTCTTATATAAGTTTTGAAATACACTGTTTTTGTCTAATAACAAAAGCTGGTGGTTCAACACTGACCGTCTCGGCATAGGCCTCAGATGCAAATTCGTTACAGTATCTAGATAAAAGTCCAATTGTTTTTTTTTTGTTTTTTGTTTTTTTTTCATTCATTTCAATTGAACTTTTACATAGATATAAACTCACATTAGTTACCATTAAAACAATTAAAGATATCTTTTCGTGACTAAAACTTTACATATTTACATCCTCCCAATGAAATTCATACTTGATCTTTCCTTACCTATTCCACAGTACCGTTGCTTAGCTTGGTAGTGAAGGAAAATGATAACGCGAGATAGCACGTGATGTGAGCTATATAATAGCAGGGGCATATAAGTAAGCCAAATGCATGTCGCACAGAGTTAGTTTTCCTTTGCTGGTTTTACTGTTTATCAATATTTCTACCATAATCTGCGTATGTTATTTCACGCCCAGACTATTAATTTAACACCATATCCATTGTTTATTCATACACAAAATACACACGTGTATTATTGGTGACAGCCAAATCTATTGGACGAGGCATTGACATTGGACCCAACCATGATCTGTGACCCCGAACTACTTTCGCCACGTGCGATTATTTTCATCGCCTGCTGTCCATCATCAACATCGCTGACAGTGACGATCTGTCACTCTTGCCGGCGATCAAGATCGGTGATCGATAATAATAATCACATTATTCAAAAAATAAATTATGTGGAAAATACAGCAGAATGGTGTTGACCTCAGTGGCTAGTTTCTGCATTTCTTCCTTTGTACTATATATTCCCTTCTTCCTTCCTCACCTATCCTCCTTTCTTCTTTACATCCTTTTTTTTTTTTTGTTTCAATGAAAAATATTATGATTCAATATATTGTTACATTGCTTGTAGTTAAGTATTGTTTTACCATCCATGTAATGGAGAGGGCTTAATATGTTGGAAAAACTTGTGCCCAATCCAATTGTACAAAGTTTTGCAATAAAATAATTATTAAATCAAAACCTCAGTGTAATTTGAGCCATACTGTTGAAAATGAAATTATAATGTAAAAAAAAAACGTCGGACAAACCAGTGCTAGGAAATATTTAGTTCAAAAGCTGAATGACTCTGGGTTACCACCTACCCAAATTATGCAGCTAGGCTAGTGTAGGTTGAAAATAGATGCACTTACCTCCATAACGAAAATTATAATCTCAAACACTATAAATCCATGTCGAAGAATTTATTTATTTCATAATTAACATACAGCTGATTTGTAGTGAACATGTGTAAGGTAAACAACTGTCCTCTTACATATATCTGGCCACAGAAACGTCCAGAGTATAAACAGTTACAGTACCCTGAATACTGACCAACAGAGAGATATATAAGCTGTACTTTCCAATCAGCAAAATAGGCCTAGACCTAGTCCTGAAAGAGAAAGTGCTCCTCCACTGACGTCTAAAACGGGTATAGGCCTATGTGCAACCAGCCACATGAGGTCAACGGCGAATGTGACAGGACAGCAATTTCATTCTGTCATCGGTGGTCCAGTGTATGGAGACACAATAAACATCAACATTCACAATGATAAATCTTTGTCTCGAAAACGGCCCATTGCGATGTTCAGTTCTGATGAAAGTGATTAGAAGTTCTCGAAATTACACGCCTTCTTAATCGTGTCTACATTCACATTTTCCCGCGAAGAAGCACTAATCTTATCCGCAATAAAATCTAGTTCCAAATTATCTTTTTAAAGATTAACAATTTGTGTAATTTTGTAACTTTTTTCAATGAACTAATGTTACGGCATGTTTCCAAACAAGATTACTAAATAAATAAGTATTTTGTTTAAAAAATAGCGATTTTTTGCATATTAATGAGCCAATCAGACAACCTACGATGTATTCTTACGCGAAAGTGTCAATGGGGGCGAAACGATGTTGTACACAATATATATATTTTACGTTAAAGGGTTATGGTAGAAAGAAGTTATACAACTCGTGACAATTGATTATCATCGTTATCAAACTCTCGTAAGTTAATTAAGCCTCGTGTCTTTTCTAAGTTTGAAAATTAACTAACTCGAGTTAGATAACGATGATAATCAACTGTCACTTGTTGTAGAACTTCTATGTAAATTGCATTTACTGTAACGTAACAGCTATTTTTTAAAATGACGTTATTAACGTAATGGAATAAAAGAATGGTGAAACATACTGCCGATTATATTAAAACCGATCGCCTAAAGGTAATGTGTGTGCTAATTCAAAGAATTAAGAAAGATAACCCACCAAATGGCACGTGTTATCGACCCCGGGCAGAATTCCCAGATAAATTGTAGGTGTTTTAAAGACGATATCTTTCACAAAGAGATATTTCAGCGCTGAATCACTTTAGGAATATCAAAACCGGAGTTCCACATGGTTTTATTCTTGGAACTTTACCGTTGACGATACACCGAAATATTTCTTTTTCACAACAGTTGCGAAACAAACTTTAAGCTTATACTAATCACTCTGTTTTTGTCCGGATGGAAACACGCGGGGTTTTAATGTCTGTCTTTATACCGAAGTTAACCTATTTTTCTTCGTTAATTTGAATATTTTCTTACTTTTGTTGATAAAGTATCGATCCATACATTGGATATTAATAATCAAACATATAGAACATTAAATACGGTGTTGTTGTGGATCTTTCCTAACATTTCGACTAATCGGGAGAAAAAAAACAGTAGGTGCACCTTTGGTCTCTAGCTTCTCGATTTTGGCCATGTACTACTTGAACATCTAAAAATCAAACAAGGCGAAACAGCACCATATTGAAGCGACTGAAGATGTAGTTAAAACTATCGTTTATAGACTAGAAGTATCAAATGTGTGATTTATGCTAAATAGAAATGTTATGGTCTTATATATCATTCTGTGAAGTTATATAATCATATGTAGTTTACGAACATACATGTGCGAAATATAGAATTTGAATTCTACCCGCGTTCTACATACCTAAACCGATATCGCGGCGACCTCATAGTGATCTTTATTAAATAGGCACACAACATGTGTGTATATACAGCAACAGACTTCAAAAATAGAAAATTATGTACTCTTTTTATCTAAACTTCTCCTGATTTACAGTTTACAAAGAATTCATGTTATACAAGCCTTGTAATATACTGAGTGTTTTGTAAAGAAACAAATGCTGATGGCTCAACACTCACCAACTCGGCGTTAGGCCTCAAATGCAAATTCGTTACAGTATCTGGATAAAAATCTCATTGCTTTTTTTAAAACTCATTTCAATTTAACTTTCATTTTAATGTTAACCCACATTATTTACCATTAGAATATTTAATAAATAATTTCCTAGACTAAACCTTTGCATATTTACATCCTCCCAATGAAATTCATACTTGATCTTTCCTTACCTATTCCACAGTACCGTCGCTTAGCTTGGTAGTGAAGGAAAATGATAACGCGAGATAGCACGTGATGTGCAGTATATAGTAGCAGGGGCAGATAACTCGGTCAAATACATGTCGCACAAAGTTAGTTTTCCTTTGCCGTTCTTACTGTTTATCAATATGTAAATGGTATTTACTGTAATGAACATAACAGTTGCTGTTTTAAAAAGACGTTTTTATTTTTCAACGGAATGGAATATTGGAAGGAAGGACTATACTGAATTTTGAGCTTGAGCTAGTTGAAAGTACAAGACCTCTAGCCTGTGACTAGTGATTCTCTGAAGACGTTTTCCTGTTTGCCAGCATACACTAAATAATTCATAATCATTTTTAGTCATAACATTAAAAGAATATAACAGTAATATTGCTTTCTTTGATCATAGATTAGAACAATTTCATCGCAGATTGTTTTACTTCAATTGATACAGATTGGTTACACACTTGATATTGTGAAGTTGTGTTTGATAAGGAACGCATTGATATAACATATATCAATGACTTTTGTGAGATATGTTTTATGATCTGTATAAGCATATATGAAGCACATGAGTATAACAAACATGTTAATAATGTTGATCAAACTTAGTAATTAGTGTTACTTATATGATATTCAAATATTTTTATAAAAATAAAACAGGCTCAATTTTTTTAATTACTGGATATTCTAAATTAGACTCAGGTAGTTACTAACTCGTCTTTCACCTGGTTTCTATTCCATGAACACAGATACCACGAATGTACGTGATTGTAAAATAAGGGCGCTTTGAGCATTATATCCGTATTCTACGTCCGTCCTTTTATTTACATGTTAGTTTTTCATCTCAATTTCCTCTCGATTTGACGAAGATGGTTTGTGAGAAATGTGTGTTTGTTTACATCTTATTGTTACTTTTTAATTGTCACTTAAAGGCATTTCTAGAAAATATTGATTGAGTATTCTCTCAACAATATCATGATCATGTTATTTCGGCTAATTTTGGACCAGAAAATAGACCAATTGTTTACATATTCGACATCCAATTTTCGTGCTTGAATAGTGTTAAGTTGAATATCGTTCATCAGAAGATTTATCTGTTTATAACGTGAAATATATCAAAAGATATTTTATTTTAACCACATAGCTGTAATTATTTCACGTCTTAAACGTCTGATGCCTTTGGTCTTATTGTCTAATTGTTGTCGAAACAAGTAATTAGTACATTGGTACAGGGACGTATATATTAACGTGATATATACGTCCCTGATCGGTATTAATAGTCCAGCCTCTCATTGTGATTATTATGAATTAATAATTATTAATATTGATACTATTCAGACTCTTGTGGTTGAAGTTTTCTAGATCAAAATGAAAATATATCAATTGAAATCCATTTTATGGTAGTGTTCAGTGATAATCTGCAATTTATTTTCATAAATCCTTTCACTTAATTACTGATAACAATAGGTCCCCAACGTTAAATTAGTTTCCAGAAGGTCGTTGAGTCCAACTGATACTCCTATAACATGAGAGGCCGCTAATTTGTTATCTGATGTTATTATGCAAACTGACAAGGTGCCTGTTTAAACATCTCGATGTGTAAACGTCTAACATCATTTGAATAAGAATCACCGCAGCAATGATGAATGACAATAACTGTTTGCATTGTGGAAATTTGTTTAAATTTATATACTTTTATATTGAAAGGTCAAAAGAAATTAGGAAAAGTCATCACCCCAGATCCATGGAAAAGTGGTGCAAGAAATACAACAGGTATCCAATTTGTTGAAGTTTAGAACCTGAGTATGTCCTACTATTTATATATATGATATAAGCTGATTAAAGATGGCATTTTACCTAACTCAGTTTTATTATCTACAAAATGATACACTCACACATATAGGGATATTTGTGTGGTCAGCATGTTTGCTATCCTAACAAATCTTTTTAGGTGATAGAATCCTTTATAAAGGCCTTCATTTTGATGAAACTCATATTACAAATAAATTAACTTTAACCTGGCAACTTGTTGTGTGTATCTCTATTTTAGTCATGGAAGCAGGCTTAAGATATGTAAACTGTCCCTACACAGGCAAATCAGTATAGATGGTAATTCTTTGTAGAATAGATTCCTTGGGGTATACAGAGTTGAGTTCAGAAACTAACAATGTAAATGAAATAGACAACATTCTCAGAAGATCTTGGCAGGTTTAGTGGTGTTGACATGTTTTGGCATATTATGTATGGTGTCTTCAGAACAATGAAAATTTCAAAATACAGGACTTAGTAACTATATATAAGCGCATATCGTTTAAACTGAAATAAACAGGTCTTAATAAATAAATATTTTTCTTACAGAAGGAGGAGGTCGTAAAGTGGGTGAAAATAAAGCATTAACAGCTAAGAAAAACAGGTCAGTAGAAATCTTTAATATGGTAGGTAAACATAGCAGGTAATGAACTTGATTAGTTTACTTCCTTTGGATGACATCGATTATAGATATATTGTGTAGATTATCATAATGGTTAATCATTTTTAAAATTGATAGTAATTTCGATTTGTGAATTAAAAAAGATATGGTACTATAACATTTATAGTTTCTGTATTTCTCTTTAAATTTTCATCTTTTTCTGGTAAAAACTGAATAACTAACTGAAAATTAACTATCTTTTATAGTCTGCAAATATATACTAGTGACTGTTGATTTGGTAACATTACCTGATATATAGTTATTTGTATTTTTGTAGATTTTCACCTTATGCTACATTTGAGAAATGTCGCATCTGCAAGTCATCTGTACATCAGGCAGGATCACATTACTGCCAAGGTGAGCTTATGCTTTTATTGTTCAGAAGATTATGTTTTGTTGCCTATGTTTAAATGGGCAATGCAAAGAAGGCACATTCAGATCACGTAATATTGAAAAAAAGAAGAAAAAAAGAGAAGAGATAGATCATTATATGCAGAGCATGAATTCCTTGATTCAGAAATTGTATTATAAATACTGTGATCATCCTGCAATAAACCTGTGTGGGCCAATACATAATCTCTCACCAAAAGGATGACATGGGCTTATTACGGGACAATGATATAGCATCTGCTAGCATTCCTGTAAAGTTTAAAAATGAAATATGTGGGATTATTTCCAGACTTTGGTCAAAGTTGTAATTAAGAGGATATAATTCATGTATGAAATTGAGTTTAAACAATTTTTGTTGCAGCATATGTTTGCTCATTTTATTTTCTCCTCACAACCATAATGAATTTAATATATTTCAGTGTACTTCAATGATATTGTGAAATCATATATTGAGATGTAGTTAACCTATTAACTTGATACTTTTTTGTATTGCTGTAAAGTAGGAATCAGCAACCATTTTTAATTTTATATACATTATCATTACAGGATGCGCTTATAAGAAAGGTAAGTAAGCCTATGTTTTTATTGAAATTAGGAATCAAAATATCCTTGCTTCATGATTACTCACATGAGAGAAAATTTTCTAAACAAGACCATTTGTAGAACTGAATTTAGAGAGAAAGGAGCATGCCAGAAATTTACTTATACCATAATGACATGTTCAATTATACATTTGATACTTTTGATTTTAATAGTACACCACTGGAAAGACATCAATTTCTTATTATTTTGTATATTATTTTCGATGGTTTCCAAGCAATTATTGGAGTCATTTCATTCCAGTTGGATATAAAACACCCCTGTCAATAATAGCATATAATATTTAAAACATTGGATATTTGTGTTGTATATTTATTACTAAAAATTAAGGAAAACTTGGCCCTTATTTATATCTTATTGTTTTATTGGTATATTGTCTCCCTCTACAGGTATCTGTGCAATGTGTGGAAAGAAGATCATAGAGACAAAGAACTATCGCCAGACATCAGTGTGATGATGAAAATGAAGATATTTTGTTTATCAATAAGAACTATTGCCAGACATCAGTGTGATGATGAAATAGAGATATTTTATTTGTGGTCTTGACAATAACTATCACCAGACATCATTGTGATTATGAAAATGAAAATATTTTGTTTATCAATAAGAATTATTGTCAGACATCAGTGTCATTGTGAAAGTGGAGAGATCTTTTTTTTTGTAGACCAAAGAAACTTTGACTTGATGTTTGTAGCAGACAGCAATAAATTGCTGCCAAATATCAGTGTTATTTAGGCCAATTTGACAACATTTGTGAACTATCCACTCAGACTCATAGTTATCACTAATTTTTCAGACATGAAGTATGAATTTAATACGAGATTAATCAGTGTTTCATGATTAATTGATGTACAGGTACAATGGTCTGATTTAGAACCAATAAGTTATTTGATGCCATTCTCTGTTTTTACTGATGTAGGTTATCCATTTCAATCTCAGATTAATTTGTTAAGTTATAGAATACCTGTATTAAGGTTAATCACTTTGTATTAATATATTTTATCTGTAGGTATTTTAATGGGTTTTGTACTTGTTGCACTTTTAACGAACGTGGTTAACTAAAATATGTCAAAGAGAGCTGGTGTGAATGTTGCGAAAACTACTTAGTAAATCATAATGAAATCATGGTGGTAGTCTATAGTTGATAAAGAGATAGGGGCTTGTTGGGGGCTTAAGTAGAGAGTGAGTTAGCAGGCTTCATATGGGCTGATTTCTTCTTAACATCATTTTCAAAAGAAATGGTCATGTTTCATCAAAATTATGGTGGTACACTGTTGTCCATTAGTTACAAAATTGTAAAATGATACCAATTCTCCTTGTCCAGATATGAAGTCGGATACCAACTTTCCTGGTCCAGGGGTTGATGTCAATATTGACATTTGGATGATTTGTTTACAAGAACATCTCCTCCTCCAGAAGTACAAGTAAAATTTTAACCAAACTGAGAGGAGGTGGTCCATTGTATCAGAAATTGCCTCAGAATCTCTTTCTCATTTGCCCTATCAAAGTCTAATACAAATTACAAATAAAAAACGATGAGATTGGTTGGTTTGTTTTCAAGATCATTCCAAACTAGAGTTCAAGTTTTAATGATATTGTGTTTCAAAGGGTGATGAACTTCATACAGACTCTCCTTTGCTGCAATCTCACCTCCATTGAAACCTGATCAGATTGCTTCTGTGGTGATTGAATTGTTCTATTGTAATGAACATTTCACTGTGAACACTTAGGTCAATATTATTAAATGTATGTGTGTAAGCTGAGAAAAGCTGTGTTGAGTCAAAATGAAAGTGGTGAAAAAATTATTGACCTTTGGGTTCATTTAAAATATTTTAATGAATAAAATTTCAATGATACAAGGTGTTCTCAAGTCATTTATTCTTTACTGTGGAGGGTTGTTAAAATCACCAATAATAACTCATGTTATCTCTAGAAGTAGTGATCAATCATTCTCAAGCATGATGTGAATGTTCTCCGGGGTCCCATGTTGTACATGTTCATTTTTTAAACTTATTAGAAAAGGAAAATCACAGGCAGATATCAATCTTGTATTTCAAAAGATAAGTTTATCATTATTATTTTTTACAGACTGAGAACAGAATTGGGATTTATCGGAAATTTTCTGTGTGATCATTTTGGTACCTTGTTGGGCAAGTTTCATTTAGGAATTGATAAGAAAAAAGAAAGAAACCACATGGATCTTGACGGCCATCATTTGATCTTCGTGTGCTCATTTTCCTTCCGTTCTCTTATTTATTCTTTATGTGAAATTTCAGAATTTCTCTTAATAAATTATCATTACCGTAAATTTGCGTATGTGGTCTGCACATTTTTAGGCAAAAACAGTCGTATCAAATTGAAAATGGTTGTCTGTCAGCAATTTTGTTTTTCTAGCCAATTTTGAAAAAACAAAAAGGTACACTGGGAACACCCATATGAAGTTTGAGAAAGATCCATATAGTCTTTCTTAAGATATAGCGATAACAAACTTTCTTTGTCAAAATCCAAGATGTCTGCTACTTGTTTGGTTTTTTTTTTTCTTTTCTTTTTTTTTCTGTTCAAGCCCAAAATCAGAAGGGCTCAACAAGGGACCAAATGAGATCTTATGAAATTTGGTAAGAGCTCATATATTTCTAAAAGAGACAAACTTTCATCGTCAAAATGGGTTGTCGGCCATTTTTTTTCCTAGTCCCAAAACCAAATGGGCACAACTAGGGACCAAAGTTAACCTACTATACGCATATAAATTTTGGGAGAGATCCACCCAGTACTTGGTAAGAAATGGCGACGAAAAGAATTGTTTAAGGACAGACGGACGCAATTTTAATTTGATCAGGCCGCCAACTGATGATGGTGTGGATCAAATGGCGGACTATAATGCTAATTAATCGACAAATACAAAAAGTATGAACAAAAATATTAGAGTTAAAGCTATGACATCAAAAACCTCAACCAGTTTCCGTTTGACTCGTGTGTGATTTTATGATCAGTCATTTGGTTTATTAGTATTGTTTTTGCGAAAATGTTATTCACTGCACGACAAAACGGCTTCAGCGTGGCCTTTCAGTGCTAAGTTCACACGAACACCAGTATGTAAAACTGAATGTGACGGCTGGTACTGAATAACATCTTGTATCAAACACATACATGTTGGGCCCGCCGTCTTATCCTTCTGCGTCATATATGTACGTCCCTGTCTTGTATACTGGAAAATTAAGTGTATTATTCTTAATACTCAGAAAATATTAGAAGAGTTTTTTTCCCACATGGTTTTATTGGTATCATCTTGCCCAAGCTGCGTATCGAATGTCGGAAAGGTAGTGACGACAGGCAACCATCTTACATTTAGCTACTCCACATCATGGACTTCTATATCATACCACAATGTATGTAAATAGCTCGTTATTTCATGCGTTGGCAATTTGACTCGACACAAACCTTGAAACACGTTACAAAATTTATTTCAAAACTGACATCAAGACACACATATTTCAAAAGAAAATATATCATATAATAATTGACTTTCAAACACAAAACCTATTGTGGTAAAATTATTTTTAAAAAGCCAGCTTCTAGTTAACATGTCAATGAAGTACACTGTATCTTATAAGGCGGAAGACTACAGATTAAACAATCTTTACGTGATGGCCGAGTGACTAAATATGTACATATGTGATATACCACTTGGACCTTGATGATCATCCGACCATTATTTTTTTTCACGCCGCTCTCCGGCTGCATTGGGCTACTGATCGTGACTTTACCGACGAAAATGTACCCGGCATCATTTTGTAACCTTATATCGTGTTTACTGCATTTGTTTAACCTCTGCAAAGTTCGCATGTGTGAAGGCTTCAGGGGTCTCAACACATACACAAATCTGATATCGTCCCGTAAATCAGTGTTATTTTAATAGCGACGAGTATTAATGTACGTCTCTATTTTAATTGACTTTAATTATTCATGTCTTTTCAAATAATTTCTTTGTTCTACACCACAGTATTTTGAATTAAATACATACAAAAAAAAATGACGTTTGTTATTTACATAGCGACATTTACATTTTTGTAAAGAAAATCGTGGAAAAAATCTGTATCAAGGGACATAATTCGATGTTCCGAGTAGACGATACCGGATATTGTGACAGCGCATGCTCATTAGGGAGAGCGCGGAAGTTTTGAAAGATTGTGTTTTGTTAGCACTTCGGTCACAGAAAAAAGTCAGCAATGCCTACAAAAAGGAAGAAGAAAGCGACACCAAAGGGAAAGAACGCAATAACAAGTGGTAAAATTTATTATTAATTACAATAGACAGGTTTAAGGCACCCTCTAACCATCGTTTATACAGTCCGACAGAGTCCATTGCCTGTACACCGAATACATTGTAATAACACTATTGCAGGATCATATTTGATAGTGCGGACAAACCGGTTCGTCGTCACACTGAATACATTTATTTTTATGCCAAAATCGGCATAGACCATCAAATATCATTACATGTCTAGAAAAGGCTCTAGAGCTTTTGAGTTTGCCAGAGAACAAACTATATTTAACCATATGACCAGTTAGGAGACCTAGTAGTACTAGTACACAGGAATCAGACGCGAGTTCGTATATTTATTATGTACAATTGTATTTCATCATTGACGCATTAGTTTCGGACCCCTTAAGAATCGTATCATGCTATATCGATGAATGGCAACCAACAAAATACATAAATGTAATGAAATGTGTTCATACTATAAGATTATCAAAAAAACTGACCCAGCGATGCGCCATTTTTTCCCCTAAAAAATATCTAACGATCCTACCTCAAATTCGTTCATCTGAAATGATTGACATATGTGCTGGAAATGTGATTGGATTTCTGTTTCTGACATTGTTGAATCACAGAGATGCTTTAGTTTTAACTCAAGTGGCCCAGAATTACACATATATGACATCAAATCATCATTTGAACAGGAATGGTGGATATCGGTGTTTATGTGTACACCTTTTCCAAAGGGTTAGATTCAATTTTCTGTTGTTTGGTCATTTTTTCTCAAATGAGCCATACTTCGTGGTAAACTTCTCTTTTTAGATAATAATTTTTGCATCTGTAAATCTACAACTTGTCAGTTGATTCAAATAACAAATTAATCACAAAAAAAGTGGTCATTTGAAAATCTGTTTTTTTTTTTTTGAAGACTTGCATGCTTGGACTTCCATAACTCAAACAATTGCAAGGATGTGTGACCTGTTATTCATGGTTGATTTTTATTTGCTTGACAGACGATAAGAAAACGCTGGCATCCAAGGATGGATTGATATGTTATTTTATCGTAACTGAGGGAACGTTTGACATGTAAACATGTGAATTACCACTGAAATAGCAGGAATCGTATATTAGAAATCACAAGGTGGATTTCTATCCCCAGAATAAAATCGGTATTGATTATAACTTCTACCTCCACGGCCACTGTCTGCCCTCCAACATACTGACAAAGTCAAATATTTAGGCATTACCATACATCAATATCAGTTAAAAAGAAACTAAGACACAGGGATTCATTCTGTTTGTATCTTTGTGTCCTGGACTCACCAGAAAAAAATTGGATAAAAATTACTACTGTGATAATGCCAAGTGTGCTTACTTTATCAATTCAACACATATGATACTTGTCAGGCAGAATTTTATCATAGAAGCTAGCTACTGCTGCAATGATTTTTTTTCTCTTGTGGCAATAAATAAATCAAAGCTGGAAATATGGTATTTGGGCATGTTTTAGCAATCTGTTTAAAAAGTACCATACTTACAAAGCCAGATATTATTAGTAGTACTAGATTTTTGATAAGGTAGACTTTCATCATTTTGTTTCTTTTTTCACAGAAAACTCCTCTGGTGCCTCAAGTGAATCGGATAACTCAAAGACTCTGGAGATTCTGAATAGAATTTCACAGAAGTTTATGGTAGGTAAACTTTCTTGACCTGTGCATACAATTTGACATGCATTATATAAACCCATAAAATTCTTTAAGGACATATCTATGATATAAGATTTATTGAAGGTACCACATGTAATATGTAATATCTATCACATGCAATGAATAATGTCTTAAATACAAGCGTATAATATAAATTTACTAACAAAAAATGTAAGTTTTAGACATGATATTTGACTTTATTTAAAAGAATAACATGGAGAATAAATTACAAGATGTTCTCCTTGTCAAGTTTGAAATCATATTTGGAATGGAAGGTAAATTGTAACACAACTTTTTGTGTCTTTTAAATTTAACAGAGAAATCCCAACAATATTGGCAATATTCACACCTTTATGGTCAACAACAGATAACTTTGTATTGGACTTTTCTGTTTTTCTGTAGGGTGCCTGTGATAAAAAGAATGGACACAGAAAACAACCAGTAAGTTATTTTAGCTCCAATGCAATAAATACTGATTGGTCGCACATGGCCAGCTACAATAGAACCAAACACATGATTAACACAGTACAGATAGGGAGTAGAATCAATGTCCTGAGGGAAAGTCACACACATCTACATAGCCATGAATGATAGAACTTTGATAGAAAGTAGAATCAGTGTGATGAGGGAAAGTCACACATCTACATAGCCAAGAATGATAGAACTTAGATAGAAAGCAGAATCAGCATGCTGAAGGAAAGTCACACATCTACATGGCCAAGAATGATAGAACTTAGATAGAGAGCAGAATCAGTGTGATGAGGGAAAGTCACACATCTACATAGCCAAGAATGATAGAACTTAGATAGAAAGCAGAATCAGTGTGATGAGGGAAAGTCACACACATCTACATAGCCAAGAATGATAGAACTTAGAGAGCAGAATCAGCATGCTGAAGGAAAGTCACACATCTACATAGCCAAGAATGATAGAACTTAGATAGAGAGCAGAATCAGTGTGATGAGGGAAAGTCACACATCTACATAGCCAAGAATGATAGAACTTAGATAGAAAGCAGAATCAGTGTGATGAGGGAAAGTCACACACATCTACATAGCCAAGAATGATAGAACTTAGAGAGCAGAATCAGCATGCTGAAGGAAAGTCACACATCTACATAGCCAAGAATGATAGAACTTAGATAGAGAGCAGAATCAGTGTGATGAGGGAAAGTCACACATCTACATAGCCAAGAATGATAGAACTTAGATAGAAAGCAGAATCAGTGTGATGAGGGAAAGTCACACATCTACATAGCCAAGAATGATAGAACTTAGAGAGCAGAATCAGCATGCTGAAGGAAAGTCACACATCTACATAGCCAAGAATGATAGAACTTACATAGAAAGCAGAATCAGTATGATGAGGGAAAGTCACACATCTACATAGCCAAGAATGATAGAACTTAGATAGAAAGCAGAATCAGCAAAATCAGGAAAGTTACATATATCTACACAGCCATGAATGTAAAACATGACACTGATCAAGGGCAAAATCATTGTGCTAAGGGGAAAAGATGAAGAGGAATAGAATGGAACCATATAGATCATATTACATTTAATTTTTATATTGCAAAGATTATCATTATGTACAATGCTATTTTATTTTGACATTTTTATGCCCCCGCCATTTATGTCCGGGGGCATATAGCGTTGCCCATGTCCGTCCGTCGCGTCCCGTCCCGTCCCAAATCAGTATATAACACCTAACAACTTCATTCGGAAGGCAATTTTCATGAAACTTCATACAAATATCAAGTATGGAAAGACCTCATGCAGTGTTGAATTTCTCAGCATTCTAAAAAAAGATGGCCACCAGGGGGAGATAACTCAAAAAAGAGGAACATCATCTTATTTCTACATAATTTGGTACTTGTGGGTTTTAAGGCATAAGGAACTAATATACTCCCTCATTTTTTCCAGAGAACAAAATTCCAAATTCATGTACATTAAATCAACTTGTCAATTTAAGTATGAAACTTAAGTTGTACATAGTTGCATACAAATTAACAAAATCATCTCTTTCGGACCTTTCACTATTATTTCACATGGGGGGGGGGCATTCATGTCTTACAGACATTTTCTAGTTTTGATGTTCATCAATCAGCTAATGAATTTTATCTCATTCTTGTTATCTTTGTTTGGCAAAACTATAACTTCTGGTTAATACTTATGTACTAGTATCTGGTTGTTGTTTTCTGATCCATGTACAGAGAGTAGCAATAGTTTGTAATATCATCCATGAAAAACCCAGGGAAGTCTCCATGAATATGTGCATATGATATCATCAATTCTGTATTGAAGTCTTTGTAGATGTGTGTATTTTGTAGTCTGCATTGAGTTATGTATTTCAGGTATCAGAGATAGGATATGACGCTGATGAAGAAGCTTCAACTACTGGTACATCAGATATGAGTACCCAGTCTCCTGCCCATGCTGAGGCTAGTCTGTATGACTTTGATGAACCAGATTGTGAAATGCAGGTCTTGCCAGTACCAAAAAAAGGCAAAAATGCCAAGACAAAGTCAAGTACTGCTCGCTCCAAAAAATTGTTAACAGACAAGAAGCATAAGCCAGCAGAACCAAAGTTGTTAACAGACAGGAAGCATAAGCCAGCAGAACCAACGTTGTTAACAAACAGGAAGCATAAGCCAGCAGAACCAACGTTGTTAACAGACAGGAAGCATAAGCCAGCAGAACCAAAGTTGTTAACCAACAGGAAGCATAAGCCAGCAGAACCAAAGTTGTTAACCGACAGGAAGCATAAGCCAGCAGAACCAGCTGTCAATAAGGGAAAGAAATCAAATAAGTCATTAAAAAACTCTGATGTTAATCCAATAAACAGTAAACCCAAGGTGTTGAAAAAGACAAATAAGAATAATCAAGAGAATACACCAGTCAGTATAAAATCACAAGTTAAAACAAGACAAGGATGTGTTAGTGTAAGCAATGAGACCAGTGACTCTCCCTCGTTCAGTAAGACTCCCGTGGTGACCTTACAGAGGCTCGATGTTTCAAATGTTGAAGGATATGAGTCATTTCAAAGGCAACTAAGAAAGAGAAAATGTGAAGCTCCGAAAGATCAAGCAACTCCTCAAGTGAAATCGAAGGTACTGAAAGCTACACCCATCCTGAAAAATGTGACGATAAACAAGCATCAACAGAGGAAAAGAGACAGTGGTGTGCTAATGTCTCCTCCATCCTTACGTAAGATTCCTGCGCCAGCGTCGACAGACACATCTACACCTAGCAATATAGTTCCTCGAGGCAAACAGAAACAACCTGATCATAGTCTTTTGAATGAATCCTGCTTTGGCTTTGATACCAGTGTGTCATTTGCAGCAGAAACATCATTGTCACCTGTCAAATCCAAAGCCTTGCCACCAATTACACCTCTGTCTGACTATGCCTCTATGGACTCTCTGCAAATCTCATATGATATCTCCCGTCGTCAGTCAGTGGGAGATGACGCTGATGTGCCAGAGTTGTTCTCCATGGACCAGGATGGTTTGTAAACATGTTTTTTTATCCTCATTTTTCCTTTTCATCAAGTTTCTTGTGTATCTAATGATATGTTTTATGCATTACTAAATCCTTACCTATTCACAATCTCACAAGAAGATGATATTGTACATGTTTTGTACGTCAAGACCACATTACTCTAAAGTGTTTGTGTGTGTGAAGGTTGGTGGTCCCCAACCACATTTACTAATCATACATATAACTCCTATACTCTTTATACCTGTTTCTGCCAAATTTTATTCAAATTTATGAGGCCTAAGATACTGTATAGTTGGATATTTCCACTATTTCGCGGTGCATTAACGTGACTGTGAAAGTGCAATTCATGAAATATTGAGACACAAGTGTATTAGATGCCCATTCACATCCAGATAGCTAAAGTTGAATTCGTTATAATATAATTTGATAGTTTTAAAAGGAAATTAAGAAAATTTAGTACATTGTATATAGCAGGTAATTTTCACAGGTTAAAATTTTCTCAATTTTCAAAATACTCCCACTGAAATCTCATTTATTCACTGCCTTGGCATTTGGGAGTATAAATTATGTTTTGAGAACTTAGTGCATTCTTGATATAAACAATTAATTCCCTTTGTTAATTCTTTTCATTTTCAAAAATGTCAAAACTGTATGTCACTTGCAATTCATAATCTGTCTTGTTGTGGTTTGCATTTATGTAAATCTTATGATTATCACATCAGGAATTTATGTGTTGCTTTAAACATAAAATTCTTAAAACTTCCATATAGCTCATTATGTGTTAATTGATTATTGTTTACTCCTTATTACATGTACTCATGCTATGATGCTAATACCATAACTATGCTTGATAAAAATGAGGTTTATGAAACTGATGGTTTACAACTTTCCTTTCAGATTTGTCATTAAATAGAAGTATGACCAAGTCCTACAAAACATCTACAAAGAGACGACCCAAGAAAGTAGTGTCAACATCCACATCCAGTAAACCAGCAGTGTCAACCACATCCAGTAAAACAACAGTGTCTAAAGTAATTTCTATAGGACCCTATTGTCAATCTGTTAAAAATTCTGTCAAGCTATTTCAACCAAAGCTAGGAATGGAATACTGCTTTCATTTCCCTGTTTTTGCTTAATGGTATCAAAGAGAATCATTTCTTTTTTAAGTTATTTACACTGTGTTTCATTTTTTGGAATTTTTTCCTGAGCACATGGCCTAATAGTCAATAAGTTCAATTTTGTCAACAATGACATCGAAAATTCATTATTTTTGAATATGAGATATGCGTAAACAAATTCGGATCCTATTCAATAACTATTCATTGTATTTTGTTTATTTCAGAAATCAAAGACGGATGTCATTGCAGAGAAGTTCAACACAGAATTTGATGAAATTGAAAAATTTCAACTTAGCATTGAAGAAATGTAGCTTGATTTCAAACAACTTTGAATTACACTTAAATTGAAAAGGACAAACATTTTAAGGTACAAGTGAATTCATTGACTGGTTTTAAACCAAGATGTGCCCTACTGATTGATTAGCTGGATTTCATCATCAATTCCTGATAGTTTATCAGTATCCTATATAGTTTTATTGTACTGTTTAATGCTAACATCAGTAGTCATTGTATCGAATCAGATGCTTTTAAATGACTTATTTTGACAGTACATGTTTAACTCCATGTCTGGTAATAAAATCCATTCAACATTATTAGTATCTTGAAAATAGAGTGAATATTTTATTGACCTAAAATTCCAGAGGGCAAGTGGAAACAATACATTATTCCTGTTTTCCATTGTTTATGTTAATAGATAGATTTGATGATTTCTTGTTTAAATTGTTTTTGTCAAATTCTATTAATATTACTAAAAACAGAATCTGTTGATCAGAGTAGTTTTTATCAGATTGTATATATTTTTCTTAGAATGTAAATAAGAGCCATCAAAGTTTTTTCTTTGTACATCATAACTACAATCATGAATTGTTGGCATCAATAGGCTGTATGCAAGTAGTAATTTTATACTTCTAGGTATCTGATCATTACATCATAACTTCCTGTTTAAAATAATCTGTGCAGGTGACATCATGCAGGTTATTTCATGTTTTATGAAAGACATCTGTATATGTTTCATAATACTTTGCTCACTTAGGGCTTCTACCCCCTTCTGCACAGACGGCAAACTTTCACAATGTTTGTCCGCAGTAGAATTGTCTTCTTTTTTTATTATTTTCTTAATAGTTTTATTTCTATGGGTGAATGTGGTCAAAAGGTACTAACTATTGATAAAGATGTTGTATCTTTTATAAAGATGACACTTGATTAGTTTGTGGGGTTATGACATAAATTGATCTTGATAAAAAGTAGACGGTGTACACAAACATAAAGTGACCTGTAGGTCAGGGGCCACAACTCATGCTGTGCAGTATATGCAAAAGCACTAATATTCACAAAACAGAATTCTCATCCTTCAGAGCTATATGAAAATAAGAATACAGAAGAAAAAAATCTGCCTTTTGATGAAAAAAATATATACTAAACAACACAATTATTATATAAATTGATAAATTTATTGGTTCACAAAAGTCTGCTAGGTCACCCCTCCAGAAATCCAGAAAAGATAAACTACACAGTAGGACTGATAACTTAAATAAAAATTGTTTGGGCCAGGCAAATATGGAAATATATATACATGTACTTGAAAATCAACAAATGTACAATAACGGTAATTAGTATACAGTGGAAACCACATGATGCCATGCCAGTTAATATCACTTTTGTACCAATATCATTTTCTCAAAACATTGTTTGTACCCTTACTTGTAAATTCTATGTAATGCTACACCTGATAATTTCACTCTCTTTTTTGTTGGTAACTCACAATTTCATGTCATTTTGCTAGCTATCACATTGAAAAAACAGGTAAATCAATAACAAACCCAAAAGTTTGTATACATTGAAGGTATAGATAAGTTTTTTCTGAAAATAAAATTCTGGACACAGATATGTAGATTTTTAGAAATATCAAGAACCCTTGGAACAGAACATAATTTACAAATCAGGAGTACTAGGTTTCAACTTAACTGCAAATTTTCAAAAAAAGTTTATCATCAAACCTACCCTTTTATATTATTTTTGAAATATGTAATGCTCCACTGTAGTACAAATCTGTAAGAAGCAATTTTACATAGGATTATCAGGTACTGCTGAATTGATATTTTTGGTAGTTACCCTGGTATGTAGAAACAACAAATAGATGTCTTATGCAATGGTAGTTTGAACTAGTGTAAATAGTCAACTATTACAAAAGTGTAAATACATTCAGAAAATGTTATCTGACTGTTCTTGTGGTTGTGTTTGTTAATACTTGGACGATGCCTTAATGTGGTAAATTGTCCTTTATTTTGTGAATATTGTAGCTCAGGCAGGAACAGTATGTAGCTATAATTGTTAAAACAATTTGTAGTTGTAATGTATACTCTTTACTCAAATGTTTTCCAATTTATATGATAAATAATATAATGATCATGAATACCTTTCCTAAGATAGTTCTTGTAAACTCATTGTCTATACAGGGTTTCTATTTTAAATGTATTTAGTTTGAGTTAACTCAATGATCTACAAACATTGATATCAAATTCACCAAATTATCAATACAGGGTCGGATATTTGTCTAGGGAATCAACAGTAAAATTCAATATTATCTTAGATGATCTATAGGTATTGGGCTGAATGAAATAAAAATCTGTCATGATGAAGTGGATGCAAGAGAAAAAGGTGCTGTTTTTCTGTTAATGTCAAGGTTGATATAAAGCAGATCAATAATTTAGATTGCATGAATTTATTATATTATTGTTAAGAATAATTTTCAAAAATCATTTAAAACAAGATGCACATCTTGAATAAAAAGGATACATGATACAAGCACATTTAACCAAACAAATTTAGGAGGTAGGGATTTTTGAGTTTGAGTATTTGTCTTACTTTTAGGAAAAGTTTTGAGGTTGAATTAAGCTTAGTTTCTCAGAAAGTACGGAGTCAGTCAAATACATTGATAGGTCATTTCCTCACATTGACCTTGTTTTTTTGAGGTTGCATTTTGGCTTGTTTTTTGTTTTTTTTTAAATCTATTTGTCTCTTTAACCCAAGACCTTTACTTTGCACGTTCAGTAATGATTTAACCAATCAGGCTTGGAAATAGCACTAGCCATTAAATCATGTGATGTGACTTCCTTTATACATTGTTCTTCCCTTTTCTATTTGATCATTGTCCAAATTATCACTGTTAAACTATTGAAAAAGTATATAATTATGAAACTCTGTCATTTGAATATCCATACTTTGAAAAGAAATCACCAAGTTTATACAAAATAGTTACTAAAATTGACACTTGGTGTACCCAAGTTATTGTCATGCAAAGTACACTAGGTTAAAAAAAATATGCTGCTTTTCCTGTTGTGTTATCATACGTAGATTCTTCTTTCCACACAAGTTAAATTCAATCAATTTGTGTATCATGATTACTCTCTTGTTGTACTCCTCTTTTTTGCTCTTTCTTTCAATGCATTCATAAAGACAAGTGTCTTATATTGATTATCTAATTTTGTTCGGTGAATTATTTTTTTCTTTTATGGATAAAGACAAGATATAGCACAGGTTTTTAGCTCTGATGATGAAATGTTAGTATATTTTATATAAAAGTAGGAAGGATCACATGAATTACGGGGTATATACCAGGTAAATTGAGCTTAAATTCAATGTGTCTTTCTTTTGTCTTCTCTTTCAGAATCTATGTACTGGTTTGTGTCTGTAATAAATATCCCTGTTACAATTTTCAAAAGAATTTTAATCTTTTTTTTTTATTATTCTTGATATATCCATGAATTTCTTACAGCTAGTAGAAAAAAATCTCTAAAAAAAAAAACGTTTTTATCCTGATTTGTTTTGAAGACTGAATATATCTTCCATTGTGGCATGGGAAGAGTTTTTACTCTTTCTCAGTATTATTTGGATTCAACACTGGTGTTTCATGTCAGTATTGGTATTTGTTTTGATACATTACTGTATTTCTCATTGGGGTGGCTGTAAAATTGTTCTAACACAGTACTCCAGTTGTTCACTTTGGTAAATGGGTCAAATATGCTTTGGAAACGTCCTATTAGTTTTAATCTTATTTCTGATCTACTCATACAAAATAATTTAGCTAAAAATACTAATAGAAAAGACAATAATTTCCAAAAGTTGTTAATTCACAAATCACAATGTCATAAATGAAAACAATAATATGTGACAGTTATAAAGTTAACATTATGTCTTGAGAATTTGTTAAAAACAGGGTGAAGAGATCTTTAAAATGCTTGAAAAAGCAAAAGACAATAACTCTGTCAAAAATTATTGAATCGTACAGCCATTCAGGAAAACACAATTTCATGTTATAAAGTCTACCAAGATTGAAATGAATTGGTTGAAAACTAATCAAGGAGATCTCCAAAACATCTTTATTATGAAAAAACCAGAAACTTGTTAAAAAGTTAAATCAAGCTACCTTGAAAACCAACTGTATGTTACAGTGATGTTCGAAAGAAATCAGTTGAGAACAGGAGAGATCTACAGATTAATACATGTAAAAGTTCATGACAGACTTACTTTACAGATGTAGGAAAGGGTGGACATTTTGAACACAGTTCCAGATGTAAGATGTTAACGAAATTCAAATGTATAAGGTAGGATTTGTCAAGCTTAGAAGAGACCACTGGTGCTTATGGACATCGATGTAAATTTTTAATTTGAAAAAATAATTATATGGTAAGTGAATGGAGAACTTAAAAAAAAAACCGCGTAGTTACATTGAAAAATTAGGTAAATGATATGAGTTATATTTTTGCGCTTTTGAAATTAAACATCTGTACATCATAAAATGGTTTATTCTCCGTTAACTTACCATATTTTATTTCATCCATGTCAACAAGCTACTTGATATAATCTGTTGTCAAACCGAAACTAGAATTGTCTCCCTTGAAAGCCGACCAGTAAGGCTTCCGGACTTTGTGGTATAGGACGGTAACAGGGCATGACGTGTGGAATTTGTATAAGTGTATGTACTGTCGGTAAAGCATGACTAGCGGAGATATGTATCTTGGATAAATGATACTGTCTTCCTGTCTAGAGAAGTACACAAACATATTCAGCTGAAGTCATCCTTGGCGTTTGTTACACCACCGTCTGTCAACCTTGAAACGGTGATCAGAAACGTCACCTGACTGTGTAATGTGTTAAAGAGTACGGGAATCGTTTATTTATGCTATTGACAGCTACTGTTGTGTTTATTTAAATTTGAACCAGACCTGTATTTAGTCAGACGAGTGTTATTTAAACGGATCGTACTGACAACACTGACCGAAGATGAGATTTTTCAACAAAGGATAAGGCTGAAAAGACCGACAGCTGATTTGGGAATTTTCTTTGTCACAATTTCTAAACATTTCGTAACTACTGTGCTTTCATCGTTGATTTAAACACTGATACTTAGAGTTTGCTGAAAAATGAAACTTTCAAGATGTGATTGCTGAACCACTTTTTTGGTATTGTAACAAACTGTTCATGATAAAAATTTTATTTTAAAAATTCATAAAATAAATCTTAGAAGAAGATGGAAGGCAGAGGAGTGAGTCGGTCGATGTCTAAACGTTATGACATGCTTCAGAGACTGCTGTTGGTTGGAGAGACTGGGGTTGGTAAAACTTGTCTCCTGTGTCGCTACGCCAACAATGAATTTATGGACACGCATATCACTACTATTGGTAAGTATATTTATTAAGAGAGGTTGATCATGTATTACATTTAATTAGGCTTATAAACAACAGATACAGTCATCAATGTAAATAAAACTTTACACACTCAATTTTTTTTTTCTTTTGTACAGATAACAGGTTAAGAATGTTACATATATGATATAATAATATATATATATGTATTAAAATGTTTAAATGTATGTGTAACCGTTAAAAGACACACATTCTTTTTAACAGTCTTCATCTATAATCAAATATCACATTAAGAGAATAGATGATTGATTTTATGTGTTTTCCTTTATGTGAAACAGAACTGAGACACTATTTTACTCTACAGTCTATTGGTATTGTAATGTTGAGGGTTTATTTATGGGACCAGAATCGTGACCCAGCACACAGGAACCTGAGAACTTGTTACAGTCTGTCCTTATATGTACCTGTTGCAATACTTATAAATGTTTTTTATTATGCTTGTGTGCAAACCTACACTGACTTTGTTTATCAAATCCCTGTGACCCTGTCCCACTAGTTTTTAAGCAAATAGTGAAGGAATTGTGCTTCAAGCATTCTACAAGATAAATTGACAAGTTGTACAAGCAAACAGGTGTGGTCACTTTATAGCCACTGGTCAGTCTATGATTCAGACAGGAGTAATGTAAGGTGACAAGGCAGATATTGTTATAGTCTTTTTCATAATAAAAGATTAAAAAACAGTCCAGACTTTTTAAAGAATAGTTAGCTTAAAACCATTAATAAAATATCCATAAAACCTGAATATTTCTTTCCAAAAAAATACCAGTTTATTTGTGGATTGAAAAAGGAGAGAAATAAGGAATCTATTATGAAATATGATTCAATTTTGAAAAAGGCATAGCTATCATCAATGGCATGGTGCTAACAGACTTTGCTTTTGTGAAATATTTTAAAGTAGATTGACAGATGGTCTTAATCAATAAACCTTGGTACTTGGAGCCATGATAATAAAAGACATGGATGTAGAATTAGTTGAGTAGAACACTTGACTGATAATCTGTGACAGATTAAACACAGGTAGACTTATCAGTCTGTGTCTGCTTTATACTGGTTCATTAGCCACATCACCTGTGTGTCTCTGACCTACCTGTAGCCACCAGTGACCTGTTTTACACAAGATATTCTATATATTAAGCTGCAGGCAAAAGGCGATCAGTCTGTCAGACCCATCAGACTGTGTCCAGTGTTACATCATTCTAGTGTTAGTAGTTATTGACTGAAAACAGCATATGAAAAGGGTTAATGAAGTCTTATGGAATACATGTCTGTATGACCTGTTGGAGTTACATACTGACTTGCCCACAAGGTGGTGACATTTCGTTCAGTCACTGTATGTGCTTGCTCCTTGATTGAATAACTCCTGTCATGTTACACATCATATTTAATGTGAAATGTACCCAAAACATTTGACTCATGAAGAAAACTGGGAAAGAATATTCCCGATGTGTTTTAAGAAATGACTAATTGTGGGGCACCCCATTCACGTTAGGGTTGGTTTCTCTGATACCTTCTGTTTAAGAGACCTTGGTGAGAGCAAGAATAGCATCTGTCTTAGTCCACTGTTTGTTTATAGCCATCCACTAAAAGTTGGTGCCATCCTGTTAGTTGAAACATTTTGGACTTCTAAGCACAGATGTAGTGAAAGAAAATGCCTACTCAGTGAGTGATACTCATTTCTCAAAAATTCCATTTTTACCTAGTGTTTGAGTTTAGCTACTTAAGCAAAAAGTGGGCATACTGATAAGTAACCTTCAGGATAAGATAGACTTGATCAGTCTATCCCATCAATCAAAACTTGGATTGACAGGTATGAATATTTATCTCTAATTACAATAGAGATTTAAATACATGACTGTAATCAGATAACAGGTCCCAGTAACAGACAGCTGATTGTCAGGGAAAAAAAAGTGAGATGAAAATTACACAATATCAAACAGAAAATGTCTTGTTACATGAATGGTTTATATGTGGTAGAATTTACAAACTTATGATTGATTAAGTTGTAGTAACTATAAAGTTAGAATACATAATTAATTGATAAATTTGGCCCTGAAACCACATAGCAAGTATAGAAATTTGAAATAAATGCATACTTTCTACACAAGATCAAGATTTCTCCATCAACTTTTTAATGGATTTTTTTTGTTTGTCACCAGAGGAAATGTGTAAAATCTCTTTTGAGATTATGCCCAGTTTCATTTTCCTGCAATTAAGATAATGCTGTCTAAAGGTGATCAGCTTTGTGCAATTTTCACCTGGATTTACAAGGAAGTTTCTTAGATGATATTGTATGGCTTAAATGTAAAAGTAAAGGAATGATCTTTTTAATTTAGCAGTAATTATTATGTCAATGGCTGACGTTGTATATACACCTATTGACCACACATAAACAGATACTAAATAGTACACATAACATTATACTCAAGGTTTATCTACCAAAATAATCAAAACTGTAAACTAAAAAAAAAAAAAATTGAATTGGTGCCAGAAAAAAATGTATGAGGTAAAGTGTGCTGATTGTGCATGTTTGTCAACTGTATTGTTTTGTACACTGGTTGACTGTGATGTAGACAATACAGTTTAATTTGTTATAATATGTACATATATGCTATCAGTGTAGTTTGTTTTTATCTGTTTGTTCATAGTTTACAGCTCAATAAAATACACATAACACACACGCGTTTGTTAATCAGCCAATATTATTGGTACGGTAGATGTGTGTAAAACAGCTGTTGACAAAATGAAGTAAAACAAGAATTTCATTGTTATAGAGAAAACACTACCATTGTACCTGGCTTAGCACTTGAAAATAGAAATACATATTTTATACTTACAGTAAGATAAAAACAAAAGGTTAAACTTGCCATGTAAATGCTACCATAGATTGAAATAGTATAACTTGACTTTATTTTTGGTTGCTAAATTTTTCCTTTCACATAATACTATACTAGTAAGTTGGTTTTGAGGGAATGGTTACCTTACAAAAAGCCTAGAGAGCCAATATGTATCATTTGACTCACTGAAATTGGGAATTGGCTTATTATAGAAAAAATAGATTTCATCAAATCATTGATTGGTAATGCTGTTGAATAGCCAATAAGGGCATGAGCTTTTTGTGCTGATAAAATTTTCATCTCGGAAAAATAAAAATGCATGGTAATTGATATCTCATGTTTGATAATAAAGGGTCTTTTTTGTCAATTAATTTATATAGGGAAAATTTGGTACATGGAAAATATTATAATGAGCAGGATTTTATAATATCAGATATTTTAATAGGTGGGATGTACTGTGCTTTATGCTGTATACAGATAGAAAACTGATTTAAACTTGTTTTTATCCAAATCAGGATAGTTTACTAATATAGATTATAGTCACATACACATGTGAGTTAGAGTTGATACTGTTTATATGTATAAGGATACAGTGTATTGTGTATCATATATTCCTAATATTTCATTTGATCCAATATTTGATTACTAAGGTCAAAGAAGTGACACTGTCAATTTATTGGTGTGAAGATGGTTGTTGAAAGCAATGAATGTTTATACAAGCAGTCGTTTGATGTCCTAATACAATTTCCTGTCTCTCTAAGGAAAATTGAATCCTTTAAAGTTTTGTAAAGGGGATATATATATATATACTTTACACATCATCAGTATAGCATTTGATAATAGGGATGGGAAATTCACTCAAGATTGAAGGAGTATGACATTCCGGCATGTACAGTACATGGGTTCATACAGTCTGGATACATGCAATATCAAATTTGCTGGAGATTTTTCTTGTAGAAAAGAAAGATTGGAAATTAACTTATATGTAGAATCGAAAAATCTTGTGTAATTGTTTTATTTGTTTATGATACAAAAACATGTATTCATTTTGAAATTATTTGTTCTCATCAGTTTTTGAATGCAAATTGCTTATATAATGTAATTTATCATATCAAAAGAAAAATTGAATAATGGTTTTAAGTAAACAAAACTGAGTATTTAAAAGATTTGAAATCAAAGAAAAGAATTACATTGTAATTTGATGATGGATACATATACAAAGTTAAGGGCATTACCAGAATTAATGACAAAAAAAATCTTAACTGTTTTTTCAAGTTTTATACTCACCTTGACTTAAGTTTAAATAATCTTTTAGCTAAGAATTGTAGTAACCAACCTGTCCAGAAAAAAACTATTAACATCAAATATGTCATCTGTCTGTTGATTTAGGGATATGATCTTTAAAGGAATGTAGAAAGTAGATTTGGTATAGAATGTAAGGAATTAAATAGGCTTGTGATAAGGTTCAGCCATCCATGGGTTTACTGAGATATAAAGTACATGGTGTAACTGAAGCCAGGATAGGCTGAGTACAGTTACGACCTATAAACTCATCCCCTCTGTACATTGTTGTGGTTTCAATCTAATGTGTACCAGAAATTTCAGAGGAAAATCCAAGTGATTTAATACTATCCGGAGATGATCCCTAATGTAAATATAGTTTAGATTGGAAGGAAGTGAAAAAAAAAAAATTAAAATCCTTTAAATACCAGCAATAATAAGATGTGCAATTCACCAGTGTATGTCAATGTAAAATTAGTGACAAAAGATACCAGATATGTCTTCTTGATAATTACTGTATTGTCAACATGAAAAAGTGCAGTAAAAGGCTCCTTCCTACCAATTTGGCCAGGTAGAATTTCCCTTTAGCTAGATTGGTTGAGTTGTCAGACTTACATAAACTAGAGGTCCTTACTTCAATTCTGATAGAAGGCATTGAAAAATAATATCTGTATTGGTACCTGTTCAATCTAAATATTGCATTGTGTACCTTTATGTAATGAAGTAAAGTATGATGTGAAATTAAATACCGATGTCTGACTTTTAGATTGTACCTATGTTGAACCAGGGAGATAATAAAGATACAAATTACATGTACATAGACATACAGGTATCGACAATGGACTTAAATAAAAATCTCAGGGATAATTAAGTCCTTGTGTATGTCTGTATAACTTTTGTAGGTACTAGCTGGTTTTTACAATACTGACGCAACAATTTCTCTACTCAACCTCCTTTGATAGCAAAGTAGACAAGTGAAACAGAGGTCTTTGGTTCAAACCCTACCAAAGTCATTGAGTTGCTATACTGTAAGTTAATGGGGATTTATTTTTTGTTTAATATTTGGGAACTCTCAATTCACAAATTTATATTTCCATGAAATTAACAGATAAAAGTTTATATAGACTACTAGCAGAGTTTTTGAGGAAGATTTAACCATGAAATCAGTTTTGGATAAATGCAAAATTTCAGCCCCATGAAAATATATGATTGTACATTGTAATCTTGGTAATACTACTAGCTGCAAAATGCCAAGAGGAGGCATCGAAATTAATAGTTATGTCTATTACATACAGTATCATATATGGTCTGAGCATCAGTGGTGATGACCCTGTCTGGCTCACTAAAACATCTGTCCAGATTTGATATAGTGTGGTATTTACAATTTTTGAAAAGTCTATGATTTAAAATCATATGTGATGTTCGAGTGCAGTTAATTAAACGATCTTGTGTGGTGTAGATATCTGTACTAGCATTGTAAACATTGTTCAGGGTTTCTACTTAACCTCCAACATAGGAATTTTCTTTGTGAAGAGGTAGTTTTCTTTTCCTTTCCATCATATTTATCTTCAGGGAAAGCTCTGGAGAACTGTTAAATCTCTGTTTACCAGCTCTGTATGTAACAATAAGTTAATACCTGGCCCTGTACTATACATGAAGGATTTTAACTGTGTATTGAGAGATCAGTGTTCACCAAAATCTAATTTGGTAATGATAAATGATGCAGAACGAACGAAACAATGACATCTTTCTCTTTCATGAAGATTTGATTAATATAAAGGTGAATTGGAGGTGAACTTCTCTCACCTGCGGCGTACCTGTGTTTACCTGATCACCATATCAAGTGTATAATTCTAAACTAATGACTGGGCTAGGACAGTGTTTGTATATGACTAATGTGTTAGACTTTTATTCTTCCTACTGACTGGGCTAGGAATTTAGTGTTTTCAATAAATTTTTACCTACTGACTGGGGAATAGGATCATTAGTAAAATATTCTAATACTGGGCTAGGACAGTAGTAAATATTCTACCTACTGACTGGGCTAGGAGAGTAGTAAATATTCTTCCTACTGACTGGGCTAGGACAGTAGTAAATATTCTTCCTACTGACTGGGCTAGGAGAGTAGTAAATATTCTACCTACTGACTGGGCTAGGTAAATATTCTACCTACTGACTGGGCTAGGAGAGTAGTAAATATTCTACCTACTGACTGGGCTAGGAGAGTAGTAAATATTCTTCCTACTGACTGGGCTAGGAGAGTAGTAAATATTCTACCTACTGACTGGGCTAGGAGAGTAGTAAATATTCTTCCTAATGACTGGGCTAGGAGAGTAGTAAATATTCTTCCTACTGACTGGGCTAGGAGAGTAAATATTCTTCCTACTGAATATTCTATTCTACCTACTGACTGGGCTAGGAGAGTAGTAAATATTCTTCCTACTGACTGGGCTAGGAGAGTAGTAAATATTCTACCTACTGACTGGGCTAGGAAAGTAGTAAATATTCTACCTACTGACTGGGCTAGGAGAGTAGTAAATATTCTTCCTACTGACTGGGCTAGGAGAGTAGTAAATATTCTTCCTACTGACTGGGCTAGGAGAGTAGTAAATATTCTTCCTACTGACTGGGCTAGGAGAGTAGTAAATATTCTACCTACTGACTGGGCTAGGAGAGTAGTAAATATTCTTCCTACTGACTGGGCTAGGACAGTAGTAAATATTCTACCTACTGACTGGGCTAGGACAGTAGTAAATATTCTACCTACTGACTGGGCTAGGACAGTAGTAAATATTCTACCTACTGACTGGGCTAGGAGAGTAGTAAATATTCTACCTACTGACTGGGCTAGGAGAGTAGTAAATATTCTACCTACTGACTGGGCTAGGAGAGTAGTAAATATTCTACCTACTGACTGGGCTAGGAGAGTAGTAAATATTCTTCCTACTGACTGGGCTAGGAGAGTAGTAAATATTCTTCCTACTGACTGGGCTAGGAGAGTAGTAAATATTCTTCCTACTGACTGGGCTAGGAGAGTAGACTGGGCTAGGATAGTAAATATTCTTCCTACTGACTGGGCTAGGAGAGTAGTAAATATTCTTCCTACTGACTGGGCTAGGAGAGTAGTAAATATTCTTCCTACTGACTGGGCTAGGAGAGTAGTAAATATTCTTCCTACTGACTGGGCTAGGAGAGTAGTAAATATTCTTCCTACTGACTGGGCTAGGAGAGTAGTAAATATTCTTCCTACTGACTGGGCTAGGAGAGTAGTAAATATTCTACCTACTGACTGGGCTAGGAGAGTAGTAAATATTCTACCTACTGACTGGGCTAGGAGAGTAGTAAATATTCTTCCTACTGACTGGGCTAGGAGAGTAGTAAATATTCTTCCTACTGACTGGGCTAGGACAGTAGTAAATATTCTTCCTACTGACTGGGCTAGGACAGTAGTAAATATTCTTCCTACTGACTGGGCTAGGACAGTAGTAAATATTCTTCCTACTGACTGGGCTAGGAGAGTAGTAAATATTCTTCCTACTGACTGGGCTAGGAGAGTAGTAAATATTCTTCCTACTACTGGGCTAGGAATATTCTTCCTACTGACTGGGCTAGGAGAGTAGTAAATATTCTTCCTACTGACTGGGCTAGGAGAGTAGTAAATATTCTTCCTACTGACTGGGCTAGGAGAGTAGTAAATATTCTTCCTACTGACTGGGCTAGGACAGTAGTAAATATTCTTCCTACTGACTGGGCTAGGAGAGTAGTAAATATTCTTCCTACTGACTGGGCTAGGAGAGTAGTAAATATTCTTCCTACTGACTGGGCTAGGAGAGTAGTAAATATTCTTCCTACTGAGGAGAGTAGTAAATATTCTTCCTACTGACTGGGCTAGGAGAGTAGTAAATATTCTTCCTACTGACTGGGCTAGGACAGTAGTAAATATTCTTCCTACTGACTGGGCTAGGAGAGTAGTAAATATTCTTCCTACTGACTGGGCTAGGACAGTAGTAAATATTCTTCCTACTGACTGGGCTAGGACAGTAGTAAATATTCTTCCTGCTGGCTGGGCTAGGAGAGTAGTAAATATTCTTCCTACTGACTGGGCTAGGACAGTAGAAAGTCCAAGGTCCAAGGTTTAATCCCTTGTGGAGGCATGGATTGATAAGTAATGACCTCAGCACATTGATGCTTTTGATGCCCCTTTAAGGACCAGGGAGGTATTGATGTCCCTTTGAGGACCAGGGAGATATTGATGTTCCTTTAAGGACCTGGTTGATATAGATGCCCCTTTAGGGACCAGGGAGGTGAAGATACCCCTTTAAGAACCAGGGAGATATTAATGTCCCTTTAAGTATAGATGCCCCTTAAAGGACCAGGGAGGTATTGATGTCCCTTGAAGGACCAGGGAGATATTGATGTCCCTTTAAGGACTGGGGAGATATTGATGCCCCTTTAAGGACCAGGGAGATATTGATGCCCTGTTAAAGACCAGGGAGATATTGATGTCCCTTTAAGGACCAGGAAGGTATTAATGTCCCTTTAAGGACCAGGGAGGTATTGATGTCCCTTGAAGGACCAGGGAGATATTGATGTCCCTTTAGGTACCAGGGAGATATTGATGTCCCTTTAAGGAGCAGGGAGATATTGATGTCCCTTTAAGGAAAATGGAGATATTAATGCCATTGAGGCCCCTTTTAGGACCAGGAGGTTTTATGCCCCTTTAAGGACCTGTGAGGTTTGATGCCCGTTTAAGGCTCTGGGAGATATTGATGAGGGTACCTGTATATTTCCTTGGTAAACTGCAAACAGCTGCTTCCAAAGATATGACTCAGCTAGGGAGAATTATATATCATCTCTTTAGCAAATAAGATTACCAGTATACAGGAGTTCCTGGGTTCGAACCCTAGCAGATTAAGCATTGAAAAGCAATGACATCTGTAGTACATAGATATGTGTAAATATTTAATCCCAAGTTTTACATAAATTATGAAGTGCATCATAAAGATAATAAAAAAAATAATTCACTCATAGCAAAATACGCCTCTCAGTCTTCAGTGAAAATCAATCTCTCAGCTGTCACATCTTCTCTCAAACTATTTGCAGATGAGACTATTATGTGTCAACTCTCAATGAGGGCAAAATAATGAGACAGTGTAAAGTCATAGGTGATAGGTATAACTTTTATCTTACTACATATATAAGTACACTTATCATCATTGCCATTTCACACTCTATTTTACAGGTGTTGACTTCAAACTAAGACGAATGGAAGTAGACAACAAGGTGATCAAGGCACAGATATGGTGAGTAAGGTCAGAGATTAAAGGTCATGAAATTCCATCTGATATGGTGAGTAAGGTCAGAGATTAAAGGTCATGAAATTCCATCTGATATGGTGAGTAAGGTCAGAGATTAAAGGTCAGGAAATTCCATCTGATATGGTGAGTAAGGTCAGAGATTAAAGGTCAGGAAATTCCATCAGATATGGTGAGTAAGGTCAGAGATTAAAGGTCAGGAAATTCCATCAGACATGGTAAGTAAGGTCAGGAAATTCCATCAGACATGGTGAGTAAGGTCAGGAAATTCCATCAGACATGGTGAGTAAGGTAAGAAATTAAAGGTCAGGAAATTCCTTCAGATTTTATTATGGGCCTTTATATCTATTATATATAGCATAAGTCTTAAAATTATTTCCATATTTTTAAAATTTATTTTTACGTTTTTTTTCTGGGAGGGGAAAAGAAAGTCACTTCAATAACATGTGGACTGTCATTATGTAGAACATTGAATTTTATCAATGATTACAGTCCAATTCAATCTGAAATCTCTGAGCACATGTTGGTGTGATATCATCATATAGATACTGAAAAGTGAAATAGCTATCCAATAATCTTGAGATGTTATCAAATGAAGCTGGGATCTTACACACTTGACATCAATGTAACAAAATACATTTCAGGTCACACAAACTGTTTTCTTAATGAATTTATTCCATAGTGATGCTTGGGTAGAAGGGTAATTACCTTTCTTAAAAGCCTGTCCATTCATTCCGAGGTCTGATTGGCCGTCAACATGACATATAAGCTAGAGTGGTACTTATGTCTATTTCCAGGAAAAGTGATATTGGAATGTGTTCATTTAATCAGAAATCATTGTCTAGTTCAAGATCATTAAATTTTAAATATGAACCATAGCTCATGATTTGTCACATATCAGCTCCTGAAGGCCATATAGATATTGTGCTTTGTCAGAATCCTGCTGTTTGATTAGATATGTACTTAATGCTCATGTCTCTGTATGTTTGGGGCTTTACAGGGATACAGCTGGACAGGAAAGATTTGAGTCAATTACCAAACAATTTTACAGACGAGCACAGGTGAGAGAAATGATATGAAATAAAGACTTCAAACTAAGGAGATAACTTGTCTAATCTGACACCTTGTGGTACACAAAATATTCGTCAGATTAACCCACAAGGTACACAAAATATTGGTAAGTGTAACCTGTCTAATCTGACACTCTGTGGATTACAACATAATGGTTTTATTAACCTGTCTGATCTGACACACAGTTGATTACAACACACTGATCAGATCAACCTGTTCAATCTGACATCCTGTGGATTACAACATATTTGTCAAATTACAAAAATGTATTGATTTTGCAATATTATAGAACACTGTAGATATGGTGATAGAATACTGTCTGCATTGATACAAAGAAGAAAATATTGATATGTGACCCATTGTAGATTCATTCAGTGTTTGTTTGTTTGCTAAAATTCAATTCTGTGTATTACATAAGATAACAGAAAGATATGGTCTATATAGCTATATGTTTCATTTTAAGGGTCAAAAATGATAAAAATTTAAATCACAAATCAGGCATTTCTTAAGTTACTTATACATTTTTATTTGCAGGGAATACTTCTAGTCTATGACATAACAAGTCGGCAATCTTTTGAGGCAGTGCCAAAATGGCTGTCATATATCCATCAGGTAAACAAAACTTCATGTTGGATTTTATACTTTAATTGCTTTCTCCATCTTGCTTTATGAGAACTCTAGTTCTCCCCCATCATGAAAAAGGGTATATTTTTATGTTTGAAAGTAGAGTAAATATAGATTTGAATAAAAAATTCTTTTTTTTCTGGCGTTGGCCAAAATGATTACTTTATCAGGAGCTTATCACAGAAAGGGAAGCCATTGTCTGAGAGCACTAGTTACTGTTTCTTAGTTAATTAGGATTCAGTTAAAAGGTTGATCATTACAATACATTTTCTATTTGAAATATTTCTTTCTAAAATTGTAAAAAAAAAAATTACTTCTCTTGCAGTTTAATTTATTTAAAAGAGCATGATATTTTCTTATAAATTATCAAAGATGTTTTATTTCCTCAGTTTGCTAATGAAGATGTACAGATTATGTTGCTTGGTAACAAAAGTGACCAGGAGTTGAGGCGGATGGTTACTACGAGAGAGGCGACAAGAGTAAGGCTAATCTGTAATGTAATATCTATCAACTGTTGTCGTAGTGATTGTTTGGGGGATTTACAATCGAAATTCATCAGTGTATTTATAATGCCTGATAGTATCTCAAATTAAGGAAGTAAAAGCTAGTATTTCAAAATCGACTACTTATGAAACAGTTTATTTCTCTTCAACAGATGATTTAAAGAAAATTTGTTTTCAACAAAATGTTAACATATTTTGAAATGGCAATATGATCATGAGCTAGGCTGAAATACAAGGAGTTATTTATCTTAAAACTGGACGTAATATATATAACAAATAAAGCATTCTTAAATGGCACCTGTAGGGATAATAACTAGAAAAACATTTCAAATTAACTTTTACAACTGTTAGATCCAAAGATAAACTTAAATTTGATTCCAATATCTGGTCAGTTGTTCTATATATTTTTCTTGGAACATCTTGATAAGGCATTATGATTGGATAGGTCAGTTTAACACTACAGACCTACAGTTTACCATTGTCACTGTCAGCTGGGTCAGTTTAACACCACAGACCTACAGTTTACCATTGTCACTGTCAGCTGGGTCAGTTTAACACCACAGACCTACAGTTTACCATTGTCACTGTCAGCTGGGTCAGTTTAACACCACAGACCTACAGTTTACCATTGTCACTGTCAGCTGGGTCAGTTTAACACCACAGACCTACAGTTTACCATTGTCACTGTCAGCTGGGTCAGTTTAACACCACAGACCTACAGTTTACCATTGTCACTGTCAGCTGGGTCAGTTTAACACCACAGACCTACAGTTTACCATTGTCACTGTCAGCTGGGTCAGTTTAACACCACAGACCTACAGTTTACCATTGTCACTGTCAGCTGGGTCAGTTTAACACCACAGACCTACAGTTTACCATTGTCACTGTCAGCTGGGTCAGTTTAACACCACAGACCTACAGTTTACCATTGTCACTGTCAGCTGGGTCAGTTTAACACTACAGACCTACAGTTTACCATTGTCACTGTCAGCTGGGTCAGTTTAACACCACAGACCTACAGTTTACCATTGTCACTGTCAGCTGGGTCAGTTTAACACCACAGACCTACAGTTTACCATTGTCACTGTCAGCTGGGTCAGTTTAACACTACAGACCTACAGTTTACCATTGTCACTGTCAGCTGGGTCAGTTTAACACCACAGACCTACAGTTTACCATTGTCACTGTCAGCTGGGTCAGTTTAACACCACAGACCTACAGTTTACCATTGTCACTGTCAGCTAGGTCAGTTTAACACCACAGACCTACAGTTTACCATTGTCACTGTCAGCTGGGTCAGTTTAACACCACAGACCTACAGTTTACCATTGTCACTGTCAGCTGGGTCAGTTTAACACCACAGACCTACAGTTTACCATTGTCACTGTCAGCTGGGTCAGTTTAACACCACAGACCTACAGTTTACCATTGTCACTGTCAGCTGGGTCAGTTTAACACTACAGACCTACAGTTTACCATTGTCACTGTCAGCTGGGTCAGTTTAACACCACAGACCTACAGTTTACCATTGTCACTGTCAGCTGGGTCAGTTTAACACTACAGACCTACAGTTTACCATTGTTACTGTCAGCTGGGTCAGTTTAACACCACAGACCAACAGTTTACCATTGTCACTGTCAGCTGGGTCAGTTTAACACTACAGACCTACAGTTTACCATTGTCACTGTCAGTTAGGTCAGTTTAACACCACATACCAACAGTTTACCATTGACACTGTCAGCTGGGTCATTCTAATACCACAGACATACAATTTACCACTGTCACTGTGACCTATATACCCTGACCTCCTGGCTGTGTTTTTTGAAGTTACAGTAAAACCTTTTGGTTTCGCTGTAGTTTTATACCATTGTCCTTATACAGCACCAGGTACACACATACAAGTAATTCTCATAGAACCTGCTCTTAAATTGTTTCTTCCTTTCTTTTTCTAGTTTGCTGAGGAAAATAATCTTATGTTTTTTGAAACCAGTGCCAAATCTTCAGGGAATCTAGAACAGGTAAAGAGATGATACAAGGTGACCACCAAGGGTTTGGGGTCTTGAGCCTAATGTTTAGTGTAAAATTACAAACCGATGTCTGTTGATTTGATAAATGGCTGTGAATGTTTATTAAAAATTTTAATATTTGTCAAAGCAAGCAACACCAGGTTGTAGATTTGTAAGATTTGTAACAGGTAATTGTGTGTATCAGTGCTGTTACTAGGATTCAAACCCAGGGCCTCTGGACCTGTAGGGTGAAGAAAAGGTCTGTAGCCAAGTAGTATATTAGGACTTTACCAGGGCTACATAAAGTTGATGAAGTTCATGAAATATTTGATTCAATAAATACATGAAAATATAATTGTGGATTTCTGAGGATACCTGTTAAATTATATTTGTTTAAACACAGTCTCCTGATATGTACAATTTCTGTTTATCAACCTCCATGTTGGTAATGTACTTGACAGGCGTATTAATTGTGACATGTACCATTTTGAACTGGAACCAATATACACTCTTTAGCCATATCTATGGATCACAGAATTGAGAATGTTCGATGAATACAATTTATGAGATGCAAAAATATGTAAATATTAAATAAGTATCAAAGCCATAGCTTTCTACTTTGGTTTTTCTTTTATTTTGACTTTCATATGGTGCTTGATTTTGATTAATTTTCATCCCACAGGCGCTGTACACATTGTGTAAATCAGTGCTTGAGGTGGAGGTAAACAAGACCCTGAAACTGTCTGACATCAAGATCGGTGATCAGGCACTAGAAGGAGGACTAACGACACCAACAGATAGCAATGCCAACAAATTCAAACCATCGCTTGACCACGGAATTTCATACCAACACAGGAATGGACTTAACAGTAGTGGCTATGACAATGGAGTTAGTGATAGAGACACTGTGAACCTCCTCCAGGACGACAAACAGCAAACATCTCAAACTTGTTGTAGTGTTATGTAATATATATATATTTGTACTGTGTTGATTATCAATGGTAAAAGGGACACAATCGCGAAATGGTTGGAGATAAATTGATTTTTTGTTTTTGAATTTTCCATTAAAATAGACTGGTGCAGAGAGACATTTTGTGTATTGTTAGCATTACAATTTTGATTTTTTTTAAAGTACAGTATAAGAATTAATTTTGGTGTTAAGAAAAACAGTTTTTGTTTCCAGTAATATGCAGCATTATAAAACTATATGGTACATACATACACTGTTTGCTTGTGTGAAGTAAGTCATGTTTATATGGTCGTTTTTGTAAAAACATCGGTTCACCAGTAAAATTTTTGTAAAACAATAAAAATGTTGGTTTACCAGAAAAATGTTGGTTTACCAGTAAAATGTTGGTTCCCTACCAGTAAAATTTTGGTTAACCAATAAAAATGCCAGTAAAATGTTGGTTCCCTAGTAAAAATGTTGGTTAACCAGTAAATGTTGGTTTACCAGTAAAATGTTGGTTCCCTAGTAAAAATGTTGGTTTACCAGTAAAATTTTGGTTAACCAATAAAAATGCCAGTAAAATGTTGGTTCCCTAGTAAAAATGTTGGTTAACCAGTAAAATGTTGGTTTAGCAGTAAAATTTTGGTTAACCAGTAAAAATGTTGGTTTACCAGAAAAATGTTGGTTTACCAGTAAAATGTTGGTTCCCTAGTAAAAATGTTGGTTTACCAGTAAAATTTTGGTTAACCAATAAAAATGCCAGTAAAATGTTGGTTCCCTAGTAAAAATGTTGGTTAACCAGTAAAATGTTGGTTTAGCAGTAAAATTTTGGTTAACCAGTAAAAATGTTGGTTTACCAGAAAAATGTTGGTTTACCAGTAAAATGTTGGTTCCCTAGTAAAAATGTTGGTTTACCAGTAAAATTTTGGTTAACCAATAAAAATGCCAGTAAAATGTTGGTTCCCTAGTAAAAATGTTGGTTAACCAGTAAAATGTTGGTTTACCAGTAAAATGTTGGTTTAGCAGTAAAATTTTGGTTAACCAGTAAAAATGTTGGTTTACCAGAAAAATGTTGGTTTACCAGTAAAATGTTGGTTCCCTAGTAAAAATGTTGGTTTACCAGTAAAATTTTGGTTAACCAGTAAAAATGTTGGTTTACCAGAAAAATGTTGGTTTACCAGTAAAATGTTGGTTCACCAGTAAAAATGTTGGTTTACCAGTAAAATATTGCTTTACTAGTAAAATGTTGGTCTGCCAATAAAAATGTTGGTTCACCAGTAAAATATTGGCTTTCTAGTAAAATGTTGGTTAACCAATAAAATGTTGGTCTATCAAAAAAAATCTTGGTTCACCAGTAAAATGTTGGTCTTCCAATAAAAATGTTTGTTCACCAGTAAAATGTTGGTTACCCAATAAAAATGTTGGTTCACCAGTAAGATGTTGGTCTACCAATAAAGATGTTGGTTCTTCAGGAAAAAGGGTTGGTTTACCAGTAAAATGTTCGTTTACCAGTAAAATGTTGGTTAACCATTAAAAATGTTGGTTTTCCAGTAGAATGATGGTCCACCAGTAAAAAGAGTTGGTTTACCAGTAAAATGTTGGTTAACCAATAAAAATATTGGTTTATCAGTAAAATGATGTTTTACCAGTAAAATGATGGTCCACCAGTGAAAAGAGTTGGTTTACCAGTAAAATGGTGTAGAAATGTTGGTTTATCAGTAAAATGATGTTTTACCACTTAAATGTTGATTTACCAGTGAAATGTTGGTTTACCAGTAAAAATTTTGGTTCACCAGTAAAATGTTGGTTTACTAGTAAAATGTTGCGTAATGTAATGCATTGTGTGAAATGTGAGTTATTTTTAGTGGATGTTAATTTCAATCATTCTTTTTTTTAGGAAGTGAAAGTGCCAAATTTTTATTTATTTTGATATTCATGTATGCAATGTGGAGACTGGTGTATTATAGACTCAAGTTTCATCTATTTCAGGATTATATAAAATATGTAAAAAGCAGGGACTATTATGGAGATATGATATTCTTCATTTTATTTAAAATTTTCTACCTACATGACAATCACAAAGATATGATATTAAGGATCTCGAAAATATGAATAACCATGTTAAGGAAAAGCCTGGTAACGAACAAATATAACAGTAAAATGTAAAACTTTGCATTGAACACAGAAATGTACTTAAAATAGATGTACTTAATATGTAAGATTTTCAGTTCATAACAGAAATGTACATAAAATGTATGATTTTCTGTTCAGATTCTTAGATTTAATACAAATTTAATGTCCAATCGACAGCTTTTCCTGACAAAACATCTTAAATTTTCCAACCTACACCTTCTTCACTCCTGGACTCATTAGGCAAGAGAAGTAGGACAGGTTTTATATAAGGGAGACAACTACAGCACACTTCATGAAATTTCATGTATACAGTACTTAAGTATGTTTGCATAATTTTTAGAAAACATTTTTTACACCTTATGCAGGGTGTATTTTTACACCTTAAACAGGGTGTATTTTTACACCATAAAAAAGGTGTATTTTTACACCATTAACGGTGTATTTTTACACCAAAAACAGGGTGTAAAAACAGGAAGTATTTTTAAATTCACAATAACTTTTTTTCATATCAATTTCGTCATGTGCTTTATTTTTATTCACAAACAATATATATTCAAATGATATACATCATCTACAGGAAATTAAATACTATTATGTGATCACTCAGCATTAAATGCCAGAAGAACTTGCTATATTTTGCTTTTTGAAAAGTCAATTTGCTATTTTTCAAAGTTTATATTAAAAAATTTATATTAAAATCTGTGAACGTTTTTCTTCACATTTGTAAACAAAATTTTGGGTACTGTTTTGTAATCTGAAGTGTTATCACAATTATGACTAAGATACATAATGTAATATATTTCTAGAAGTTTTGATCCTTGAATTATGTTTAATTAGAAGAACTGAGTTTCTTTTTTTTACATTCTCTTTGGGAAGAATAAAGAACTTTTGGAGTATTTGTTTGTTAAAGTATTAGCAAGTAAATTTAAATGTTAATATCTAAAGGTGGTTTTTAATACAAATACAAAAAGTATTTCCAAAATAGAAGACTACTCAAATAAAGCCAGTGAGACAAGTTTTAACGTCAAAGTGAATTTAACTGAAGACAATTTTTACCTAGTTTTGGAATTTACCATTGCTTAAAACATTTAATTATTTTGAAGTTTAAGTTCATAATCAAATTATCTTATTTAATTGTTGGCATATGCAGTTAATTTGCATACAAATTTTGTTTTAAAACATTTACAGTTTCTGTGCCTATTTATACAAATTTTGGGACCAAAGGCAATTTTACTTCTCTGTGATTTTAAAATGAACAAAAGTTTACTTTGCTTTTTAAACTACAGCAAATATATTTTAACTCAAAGCTACAACTAAATGTAAAATATTCATTTCTCTACTTTATGATTATTTATATTTTGTATATGAATACTGATTTACATGTGTTGCTAGTCAAGTGTTTTGTTAATGATGTTGTCAGTATAGTAAGTAATGTATACTTGTAAAGACCATATCGTAATGAATTGCCTTTTGTATGCTTACTCATCTCCATCTCCATATCTATCGCTAGTAATTTTAGTACAGCACTAATATTTTTGGCATTTGCTACATACCTAGACATGAGTTATATGACCCTGGTGAAGATGATTGCTGAGCTATGACAGAGCAACAGAAAATTACAGAGTGTCTTTTAACATTATTCTGTACTTTTCAGAAAAAACTCATAGTGAACCTGTGAAATTTTAAACTACCAACAAGATCATAGTCCATTTGAAATGAATTGAGGAAAAAAGTTCAAATGAGATCAAAATACTTTCTTTGTTAATTTACAACTTTGTGAACTATATACTACATTGGGCTGTCAGTTAAGTAAGGTTTTGTTGGGCGTTTTATTTTTCAGGGTCCAGTTTTGACAGGTTACACTGTATATAGTATTTATAAAAAAATTTTATGCAATGCATCCTTAAGAAAAGTTTGAGTACTTGTAAAACATTTATACTGTATGATTGATCTTAAATCTTGTACTTGAATATATTTTGCTACAGCAGTGTTTGGATAAATGTGACCTGTCTATCCACTACCAGCATTAACTATACGTAATTGTGTTGTTTTTAGAGTAAGTATAGCATGATTTCTGATTTTAATCAAAAACATTTTTATAAGCAATAAGTATATCCATTTTATTTAAGAAAACAAAAATGTTATTTATGATATAAAAAATCAACTTTTAGATTTTGATCACAAGAATACAATTCTTCCTTCTGACTTAACTTAACAAAAAATGTATAAGAATTTCCACAAACATGGGTTTCTGTTTCATGAAAGTTTGAATGATACTTGTGTTCTTTTTTAACCTTTTTTTTTTGGTGATACACATGCCTCTGTGATATTTGATGTCTATATTTATCATACTTTGAGAATATGATGATATTATATGTTTGTATGTAAATATTGTGATACATTGACCTACATATCAAAGGTGATGATTTCTCCTGAATTATGATACCACTCATAGCTGGAGGTCCTAATCTGTAGGGAAAGATGGCAGAGATAGAGAAAACACTACCAGTGTGTTAGACTGCAGCAATCCCATACTTTCAAATGTTGATATGAAATCAAATTCCTATTGTCTTGGTGAAATGGAACAAAGTAAATAAGACAAAAGAAAAGAAAATGTACAGTCAAACCTGTCGTAAAAGCCACCTTTGTACAAAAGTCACATGTGTCTAAAGGCCACTTTTCTCTGCTTGCTTGAATGGCCTCTATAGACAGGTTTGAAGAAAGTTCCTTGTAAAAAAATGTTTTTTGACTTAAATGATATTCACATTCCATTTTGTTGAATGTTATGTGATAAAAAAAATAGGTTTCTTTATAATAAACATTCCTGTATCAAAAGGATATTTTGTGCTTTTACAAGTGTTTGTTTCTTAAAAAATGTTTTGAAAGAAAATGAAAATTTGCTTTTTAAATTTTAGTATTTTGAAATGATATTTTATATTCAACACTGGTACATAACTAATGTATTTTACTGTTCTGTAGTTGTCTTAATTTCCCATTTTTACATCAGTTTGTTCACAGAAAAAAATAATCCACAGCATTATTAATGAGTGACTCTGAGTTTCTTTCTTTTTCTTATTTTTTTGAAGCTTTTCATCATTTTATTATGTTAAATTGCTTAGGTAAGATCACAAACCAGATCTTGTTACAATAATAAAAATAGAACAATTTTATTGAGTTTTTAACCCTTATATATATATTAATTCATAAAACATCCAGAGGCACAAGGCAGTATCATATGTTATGTATAAAATATAATATCAGTCATGTGTGACAAATTCTGGTTCTTATAACAAAGAGCAGAGTGATAGTGGTCATTTTTTAAAAATAGATTGATCAACATAGGACTGTTTATGAATTGTTAAATAAGTTAATGTTTTTTTGTGAAGCGGACTCATCTTTTAGGAGTCAATATGTTTTCATTATTTTATTAAGTTTAAGTAAGAATAGAAGATGTTTTACATTATTTTTCATATTACAATATAAGAGCATAGTCGAGAGGTTCTTTTTTATTATCTCCTTTAATTCCTCTAAGCACAGCATTCTATTAAAGGGAGATAATCTGGTAGAAATTCCTATCATCATTCATAGACAATAATGATACAAAATAACATTGACGAATAGAGACCAAGTTCTTTGCATATTGTGATACAATATTATTACTCATGAAATGATATTCCACGACGAGAGAATGTATATTTTGTAACAGGGTTTTTGCCTCTATACAAATTTGTTTGCGATGATGTAAACATGTCTTGCCTTTGTACTGCGTCATGTAACAAATCCAACTACAGCTATGCATGTGCTTTCAATGAAAAAAATCACTATTATTTACTGTGGCCTTTTGTTGATATTTAACTATTGTGCTTAATTACATTAAATGATAAATTGATGCTGTATGTCATTGTTGTTGTATTTCCATATCAGTGGTTACCTAACAAATTCTGATCTTAACGATGGTCAGCACGCTTTATTCTGATACGAATAACAAAGTATTTATAGAACCTGATAGCTAGAAACATACTTTTTTCTATAAATAGCTTTATTTATTGTACAACAATTGCGAAACAAGCTTTTAAGTTTATATTAATCGCCCTTGTTGGCTGGGACGGAAGCATGTTGGGGGTCTTACTGTGGGAGGAAACTGGAGTAACGGGGAAACCCTATATGGTCGGACTGGTGACTCCATTCCTTTTCACGTCCATTACAGAATTGAACCCGGAAAGCGAGGTGAAAGGCGAGTGCGCTACCTCTGCGCCACCCGACCACCCTCGATAGATCGAAATAGATTTTATGTCAGGTGAGTTACATGTGATGGGCTCATCATATGCCCATCTATTGTCGATATCCTTAGATAACAATTCCTAAATGTTTAAAACGCTAAACTTGTCCAACGGTTACTAGATACATTTTTCTAAAGATTAAACAGGAGAAACGTACATATTACAAATATTAAGAATTGCTGTAAAATTCTTTACTGGTTTTCACCATGTACAACCCCCAACTCCGGGGTTGCTAAAGTATGATTTAACAACAACTAACTTTAAACACCCCGGTATCTTATCAAATGTCCGTAGCACCGCCCCTCATAAACACATTATCCTTTGGTCACATCCTCTGACAGATCCGATCCAAACGGGCCCATTGTTTGAGAAAATCACATTGATTTCGTCGTGTTTTAACAAATACTCTATTATTATTGATACTACTACTAATTTGAATTCTGTATATATTCTATAATAATAAATAAGCACAATAATGAGGAACCCTATCTACATTTCTTTTAATCCTACTTATTCATATATTCAAAGACTCGGAATTCCTGACAGACATATCTAGCGAATCCTGCATTTTAATTGTATCGGGAATAAAAGACAGTTAATAGACAAAAGACATAGAATAATGAAAGTTATAAAAGTAATTATGTCACGATAGATGTGGCTGTTGACGGATTAAACCACTGAATTTTTAAACTGACGCCATAACCAAACATACTGATAGTTGTTATGCTCTCTCTCTATCTCCCTCTCTCCCTCCTTCCCTCCCTCTCTTTCTTCCTCTCCCTCTGTGTTTTTCTTTTCTTTTTTACCCCCTCTCTCTTCCTCCTTCCATCCCTCCCTATCTCTCTCTCTTTCTTTCAACCCCCCCCCCCCCCACCTCTCTCTCTCTCTCTCTCTCTCTCTCTCTCTCTCTCCTTTTCTCTCTCTTCCTTTTCTTTTTTACCTTCTTACCCAAAAGTTGTCATGAGGACATATTTAACAATGAACGACTTGTTCGAAGAACCCTGACTTTATCAGTAATACACTCATGTCATTTATAAGGTATGTCACAGGAATAAACAGCACTGTCGGAGTAATTATTTGTCACTGTGGTCAATAGTGCTGGTCAAGTCGAAATAAGTCTATTGTTTGTAAATATATCGGTGTAACACTCTACAAAAGGATGGTGGCAATAATGGCAAACGATCGAACTCGTGTTCAATATTTAAACTCCGTGTGTCACGAGACCCGAACAAGATCCTTTATGCCACACATAATTAGTGTTTGTATGCTGGGTTTAGTCCTAAAATTTATCACGCTTTCTATTGTTCAATCTTTGGATTCAGTGGCTGTTGATTGAGAAAGGTCAAAGCCTGGGACAGCTGCAAGTACAGACGAACTTGATCATACATTGTGTGTAACTATATGTCAATACACGACGTCAGATCTCGTATGTTTCCGTTAACTTTGTGTTAATGGATAAGTTCTCCTTTGGGTGTATGGTGAACAGCATGACTAGAAATGTCGATTTTACAAGCATGGTGTTGTTTAATATAGTGGAGTGTACAGAAATTTCCATTTCTTGGACTGGTTTCGCATAAAATGGAAACAAGATGACGCAAAGCGTGGCATTATCCTTCACGTCCCGCTGTTTAATAGATGTATTATTTGACATCATTTACAAATACCATGGTTACATAATCAACAAGTTTCTATTTGTTATCTTGAATAGTTCCATACAACTGAAAATATTGGAATAGAAAACTTCTACTAGAGCACTGGCTTGATAACTGTACAAAAGTTTGAGCAATTGGTCTGGAAAAATTGAAATTCGTGATTTGGCCAATCTGTTGCCATGGTAGCAGAAAACGTATTCAAACAGAGAACTTCCCGATAGTAAAGGGTACCACTACAGTACTAGCTTAATAACTGTACAAAGTTTAGAGTAATTAGCTTGAACGGTTTCAGAGTACGGGTCCGGAAAAGTAAGGAACTCAATGTAAGAAAGTTCTCGGAGATATTTGCCAAAATAATAGAATAAAGGAATTTCGAATTCCTGCTCGTTTCATAAGTGTCATATGAAATAATGAAAACTGTGTATCGTGACATGATAATGAACCTTCAACTTTTCTCGTCATCGGAAACAGAGAGTCGCTAATTTAGGTATTTCAATAGCCATGCGTTCATTATTCATTATATAACATAAACCTGAAATAATTTTAAGCTTAAGTCTGATTAGTGTCTTTCTCATTCCAAACATTTATCAATATGGCATTTACGCAATTTTTAAATATAGTGCCATATTTAGGGATATATATTTACATAATTAAAGATGATTGAAACTTTTGTTTTAAAGGAAAAAATCGCATACTTGCCCTCTATATCTGGCATAGATAAATTTGTTTTTTTTTTTTTTTACATAGAATTCTGTATTTCCTAAATACATCTACCACATGTTACCTACTCATTCCTACATCTGACGCAATATAGATATCGTTTATATATAAGCCTTTAATCAGTATCCGGTGCTGCCTTCGTCATTGCCAAATGTGTACCAATATTTGTGTGATTGTTTGCAAAACCCAATTAGGTTTTTAATATTTTTTCTGGACCGATATTAATCAAACTACAAGCTTATTCGTCTGTAGAATCATAGATTTGTGTATAAATTGATAACAAATATGATCAATGTCAACGTGACCCCTTTCAGCCACGTGTGTTTGTTTTGGTTTACAGCGGAAAGTATCCTGTAAGCATGCGCATTGGCCAAGTTATCCGGGCATCTGTCAACTCTCCAAAACCAACATGGCGTCTCAGGGCGAGGGTGGAGGAAAGGATGAGATAAAAACACACTTCGTTACTAGAGAAGGGACTTATAAATTAATGCCACTGTCTGAGTATTCTAAGCCGACAAGAGTGCCGTACAATGGACAAGCTAATACTCCTGTCAAAGTGTCTTTCGTAAATGTAGACGACGGAAGTGGATCTCCAGATCGGATTTGTTTCAATGTTGGCAGGGAGTTATATTTTTATGTTTACAAGGATGTCAAAAAGGTATGCAACCCCGGCCCATTCATGTCCCCTCCCACCCAACCGATACTATGACCCCTGGACGCCTTGGGTTACAAAGCGAAGTCAAGGTCGTGGTGTTAAAAGGACGGTTCTGGGTACATCCTTCGTGTAGTACACACGTGTGTATTTAGGTTGACTATCTTGTCACCTAGTTGACAGTCGATGTTTTCTGTGTCATTTTATGTTACAAAGATGTTTTTCTTGGTTGCAATACCGGGCCTGCATCCAGACACACGGAAGTTTATACATGATTCATTACAACCGCTTCTAATCTCTGTTTGTAAACATAACACACCTGTGCAACATGCATGACACCACATAGTGTTGACATAGGCCTGTGCACATATCATGCACGTTTACTACTCTTTATGCTTATATAGAGTGTACTGTATGAATTATAAGACAATAAATGTGATGAATGTTTTTAATGTCTTTTAACTTTTATAAGTAGTCTTTTGTGCCTTGTGTCTGTCTCAGCTCTGGAGTCATGAGTCAGAAAGTTTAGGGATAGGTTATTGGTTATTATTTTGTGGGAAAACCACAGACTTAGTTGAATAGAATATTGGTTATTTATCATTCAATTAAGAGCTCCACGATTTCCTTGAAGTTTACTTCTTTCATTCCATTATTCTTATCATAAGTTGTTACTCTTAATGACTCCCATTATACACTTTCACTAGGTCTGGAAAACACCTGAGATACATTGTCCTTATCCAGTCCTATAGTATACACATGAGACCCACGCTTCACATGGTCCTGTAGTATGCACAGGATAGGCACTCCTCATCTTGTCCTAGCATACACAGGAGACATACCCCTCACCCAGTCCAATAGTATACATAGGAGGCACACACCCCACATGGTCCTATAGTATACACAGGAGGCACACCCCTCACCCTGTCCTATAGCATACGCAGGAGACACAGCTCTCACCTTTTCCTGTAGTATACATAGGAACCACAACACTTACCTGATCCTAAAATATGCACAGGAGACACATCCCTCACCCAGTCCCACAGGAGAGACATCCCTCACTCTGTTCCACAGGAGACATATCCCTCATCAGTATATACAGGCGACATACTACTCTCCCTGTCTAAGTTTACACCCTGTCCCATGTCCCAACAGATACAACCTTCACTCTGTCCCAGTACACACAGTAGATACAACCCTCACCCTGTCCCAGTAAACACGGGAGATACACCCCTCACCCTGTCCCATTCCCCAGTACACACAGTAGATACAACCCTCACCCTGTCCCAGTAAACACGGGAGATACACCCCTCACCCTGTCCCATTCCCCAGTACATACAGTAGATACATCCTCTACCCTGTCCAAGAACACACAAGAGATACACCCCTCACCCTGTCCCATTCCCCAGTACATACATTAGATACATCCTCCACCCTGTCCCAGTACATACAGTAGATACAACCCTCACCCTGTCCCAGTACACACAGGAGATACACCCCTCACCATGTCCCATTCCCCTGTACATACAGTAGATACAAACCTCACCCTGTTCCAGTACACACAGGCGATACACCCCTCACCCTGTCCCATTCCCCAGTACATACAGTAGATACATCCTCCACCCTGTCCCAGTACACACAGGAGATACACCCCTCACAATGTCCCAGTACACACAGGAGATACACCCCTCACCCTGTCCTATTCCCCAGTACATACAGTAGATACAACCCTCACCCTGTCCCAGTACATACAGTAGATGCAACCCTCACCCTGTCCCAGTACACACAGGAGATACACCCCTCACCCTGTCCCAGTACATGCATTAGGTACATCCTCCACCCTGTCCCATTCCCCAGTACACACAGGAGATACACCCCTCACCCTGTCCCAGTACATACATTAGATACATCCTCCACCCTGTTCCAGAACACACAGGAGATACAACCCTCACCCTGTCCCATTCATTAGTACATACAGTAGATGCAACCCTCACCCTGTTTCAGTCCACACAGGAGATACATCCCTCACCCTGTCCTGGTACACACAGGAGATACACCCCTCAGCCTGTCCCAGTACACACAGGAGTTACACCCCTTACCCTGTCCCATTCCCCAGTACATACAGTAGATAGATACAACCCTCACCCTGTCCCAGTTCACAAAGTAGATACACCCCTCTCCATGTCCCAATACACACAGAAGATACACCTCATTTGACATATGTCATTAGGTGATCACAAGAAACAATCTCACCATAGGACCAAAGTTTGCCCTATTTCTTTATGAAACTATTTTCATCATTTTTTAGAGCCAAATGCCTCCCAATTTCCAGAGCAATGAAGAGTTATGCCCCTTTATCAATATTTTAGTAACGTAATGTGTAAATTACGGATCTGTTTCTAGTACCAGATGTTTTCAATTTTCCTTTTAGTTGCATTTCGTACCTACACAGTAGGCATTTTGTAAAGTTTGAATCATCTTTTTAAATTGCTTAACAACTTAGAGGAAGTTCACTGTTAAAAATTCTCTATATCAGCCAGTTTTGTTGAAGGGGATGGGGCTGGGATAGGGAGTTTAAATTTCTTGCAGTTTCAATAATATAATTGTTTCTTCATGTTTTTTGTGGTTAACCAATACAATATTTTCATAGGTACCATTCATCATATTTCATTCTTCATGGAATTCACGGCATATCTTCAGAGTGTTTTTAACATAACTATTTTCTAATGTTTAGTCTAAAAAACCACGTGTCAAAAGTGTCTTTGTTTATGTCCTGTAACAAAATAGATATTGTTTTGTGCATTTTCACAAATGTTTTTTCTAAGGACCATTTTGAGGAGAAAATTATATCTTTCTGGTATAAGGAATGGGGTCATACATTATTGGACCTTAGCAAAATGTCTGCTTCCATTGCACTGCTGTGTTATACAATTGGCTTGTATTAGTGAAAGTTTCATTATTATCTTTCTGAATGTGCTCTGTGGATACAAAATACTGGAGCTTCCTGAGTGTTTATAGAAAAGTATATGTAAAGCTATACCTTCCTGGATGTTTATAGAAATGTATAGGTAAAGCTTTACCCTCCTGGATGTTTATAGAAATGTATAGGTAAAGCTTTACCTTCCTGGATGTTTATAGAAATGTATAGGCCAAGCTATACCTTCCTGGGTGTTTATGGAAATGTATTGGTCAAACCATACCTTCCTGGATGTTTATAGAAATGTATAGGCCAAGCTATACCTTCCTGGATGTTAATAGAAATTTATAGGTAAAGCTTTACCTTCCTGGATGTTTATAGAAATGTATAGGTCAAGCTTTACCTTCCTGGGTGTTTATAGAAATGAATAGGTAAAGCTTTACCTTCCTGGATGTTTATAGAAATTTATAGGTCAAGCTATACCTTCCTGTGTGTTTATAGAAATGTATAGGTAAAGCTTTACCTTCCTGGATGTTTATAGAAATGTATAGGTCAAGCTTTACCTTCCTGGGTGTTTATAGAAATGAATAGGTAAAGCTTTACCTTCCTGGATGTTTATAGAAATTTATAGGTCAAGCTATACCTTCCTTTGTGTTTATAGAAATGTATAGGTAAAGCTTTACCTTCCTGGATGTTTATAGAAATGTATAGGTCAAGCTATACCTTCCTGGGTGTTTATAGAAATTTATAGGTAAAGCTATACCTTCCTGGATGTTTATAGAAATGTATAGGTCAAGCTATACCTTCCTGGGTGTTTATAGAAATTTATAGGTAAAGCTATACCTTCCTGGATGTTTATAGAAATGTGTAGATCAAACTATACCTTCCTGGATGTTTATAGAAATGTATAGGTCAAGCTATACCTTCCTGGGTGTTTATAGAAATGTATAGGTCAAGCTATACCTTCCTGGGTGTTTATAGAAATTTATAGGTAAAGCTGTACCTTCCTGGGTGTTTATAGAAATTTATAGGTAAAGCTATACCTTCCTGTGTGTTTATAGAGATTTATAGGTCAAGCTTTACCTTCCTGGATGTTTATAGAAATGTATAGGCCAAGCTTTACCTTTCTGGATGTTTATAGAAATGTACAAGTCAAACTATACCTTCCTGGGTGTTTATAGAAATGTATAGGTCAAGCTTCACCTTCCTGGATGTTTATCGAAATGTACAAGTCAAACTATACCTTCCTGGGTGTTTATAGAAATGTATTGGTCAAGCTTCACCTTCCTGGATGTTTATAGAAATGTATTGGTCAAACCATACCTTCCTGGATGTTTATAGAAATATATAGGTCAAGCTTTACCTTCCTGTGTGTTTATAGAAATTTATAGGTAAAGCTTTACCTTCCTGTGTGTTTATAGAGATGTATAGGCAAAGCTGTACCTTCCTGGATGTTTATAGAAATGTATAGGCCAAGATATACCTTCCTGGATGTTTATAGAAATGTGTAGATCAAACTATACCTTCCTGGATGTTTATAGAAAGGTGTATATCAAGCTTTACCTTCCTGGGTGTTTATAGAATTGTATAGGTAAAGCTTTACCTTCCTGGATGTTTATAGAAATGTGTAGGTCAAGATATACCTTCCTGGATGTTTATAGAAATGTATAGGTCAAGATATACCTTCCTGGATGTTTATAGAAATTTATAGGTCAAGCTATACCTTCCTGTGTGTTTATAGAAATATATAGGTAAAGCTTTACCTTCATTGATGTTTATAGAAATGTGTAAATCAAGGTGTACCAGAGGAGTGTTCATTCCTTTAGTCATAAATTTAAAATGTTATGGCTGCACCAACCATCAGTGATGGATAATTAAAGGACTTTTCCCCAATTATTTACAAACACAAAGCTTTTGAAAGGTAAATTGAAAATTTGTTTCTACTCTTTATATGCAGGCTTCTTCTGTTGGATCGTTCCATGCACATCTTAGATCTTTCTTTAGTAAATCTGAATTCTGCTGAGGCCTGAGGAAGTGATATGATATGAGGACAATTTCATGAAAATTACACACAAATATTATTTTGTTATAGCTATATATATAGGCTTTTAAGTCCTTTTGTTTTGGAGTAGGAACAGACAAATTGTACAAGTTCAGGATAATCAGTCACCAAATTTCTTGTAAGCTGAATTGGTGACCAGATGATGCAATTAAACTTAAGCCGACTCCCTTGTTAAACAGAGTTAGCGCTTATCTGGTCTGTATACACAAGAGTTTAAATTCAGGATAGAAAATGTAGTGATGATCCTTCTTATAGAAGGCCACCAAACTCCTGTCAGGTATTCTATATATAATTATTGTGTACAGTATGTCATGACGTCAGGCGGTGGCTGCACTGATACACTGGTCTGGCTATATGTCAAGGGATCAGCTAGAAGACTTACACAGCTGATTATATGCCATTAAGATGTGTAAATAATATAATACTTTAAATTCTGAATCATGCATCATAGATTCATTTGATGATACATATCCTTGGTCAAAAGTGGCAAAGCAAAATCAATGCAACTTGTTAAAAAGGCAAAAATATTCAATAGATGCTGACAGTCATTTCAGTGCAATTTTTTTTTTCATAAATACGAAGAGTGTAAATGATGAGAAATGACTATTACAGACTGCCTGTGAGAGTCATTTTAGTATAACACAGTTCTGCCTGTCATCATGCTTATTTACATAAGTATGGGGACATCAGCTGCTTTTCCTTGGCCATACTTCCTTATTAAGTTTTTACCTTCATTTAATTGTAAAATTTCATTTAAATTCAAGATCTAGAGACTAGAGCAGTTATCTGGTTCCTCTTCCAATGCTTGATAATCGGATACTTTCTTGTTTGGATTCCATTTTAACATAATTGATCCAACCTACATCACAGTATATTATGTCAACTTTACACCTGTAGACCATCGACTAAGGTGTAGTAAATAAACTCAACAGATTCACCTATAAACTCTAAGTGTAGTTACTGTCATTCAATCAAAATTTTCATTTCAAAATTTGACTGGAACCTCATTCTGGAGATGTGCTTAAAAGTGATTACCACCCCATGTAAATACATTATGACAGCTCAAATATTTCACATTTACTAGTGATAGAGCGGAGGTCCAAATTTGAATAACACTATTTATAAATAGCTCTCTTTGTTAACTAGATTTTCAAAAATGTTTATAAAACATTCTGTGAATTTATTTGCAAACTTCTATACATGTCCCCACCAGTAGAAGGCATTAACAATCACCATGTGTTTCTGTCTAACAGCCTTCTTTGTCTGTCTTTCTGTCTGTCTTTCTGTGTCCCTTCCACAGATTATATGTATATATAACATATTACTATATTTAGCCACATGAATTACAAGATTTACACACTATTTCAATTATGATGTTAAAGTTGGAGAGAGAAGTGTCAACACTTGACCACTGTTATAGTAAATTCTTGTGTGTAAAATATCTCAAGAATGTCTTTTTAGTTTAAATGTTAAATTAACTTGGTTGGTAGATATCAGCTACTCTAGAGAAAGAATGTCTCTTCTTGAGGCTCCTGTGAATTTATGTGCAAGTAACAGTGGATATGACATAAACATTCCATTAGTAGGAAGAGGGGAGTGTTGCTGACTGGTTGAAAATACTCATTGACAGACTTGTATAATTTCTAGTTACATGCAAATACAAAGTGTTGTAAAATGTGGCTTGGTAATATTAGATATTTAAAGATGGTAAGGTACTGGGAATGTGAATATTGAATTGAGTGAATTGTTATTATTTTGGATGTATTACATATTATGAATTAACCCAGAAGAGTAAATACATGTATATGACAAGGTGAATTAAATATTCATTACATGCACTATTCCTAATTTCTCCATGATATTAACAAATGGGCCAAAACATCCATTGATCATGACCAGACTACTACTGCTAAAACCACAGGAATTCTTTCCAGTCAGTACTGGTAATAGAAACAATATATCATAGGGGGTACTTCAACACATTATATAACACAGTGGAAACTGACCGTATAGCCAAATCAATATCATATATAGGTTTTTTTGGAAGAGACTGCCTTTGAGATATATACATACTGACTACTGGGTTAATGTAAAAGGTCTCATGTTTTCCCAAGTGAAATGCTGTTATAATTTTCTATGAAAAAGATAATAATAAAAAAGAAAGTGTGAAAGCATGTACATATTGACAGTAATGTAAGCAATGATATGTATTAGTTATAGGTACAGTTTAAATGAAGCATGGTAGACACACTTATAGCAGATTCAGTTCCTTGTCTTTGGTCCAATGATAACTGCAGAAAAAAAAACTATAAAGCAATGAAAATAGATATTGTGATGATGTTGCCTTGTGTAGTATATACACTGCATCTGTAGAAATTGTTATGACAAGTATCACACAAGCCAGTTCTACACTTGTTCAGAGTTTAGTGGTCCTTAGTCAATATTGAAGGGTCAAATGTGATACTTGACCACTTTTGATATTAACAAAAAGAACTTGGGAGAGGGGTGGGATATTATGTTTGTGAGCCTTAAACTTGTTTCTGTGACCATCTTTTTGAAATTAAAAAATGTTAGTTGATGACAAATGAAATTTGGTGTGATTAATCTTTAAATACAGTAATACAAATGATATATGCTCTGATTAATATGTAAATACAGTAATACAAATGATATATGCTCTGATAATCTGTAAATACAGTAATACAAATGCTATATGCTGTAATTAATCTGTAAATACAGTAATACAGTAATACAAATGCTATATGCTCTGATTAATCTGTAAATGCAGTAATACAGTAATACAAATGATATATGCTGGGATTAATCTGTAAATGCAGTAATACAGTAATACAAATGCTATATGCTGGGATTAATCTGTAAATGCAGTAATACAGTAATACAAATGATATATGCTGTGATTAATCTGTAAATGCAGTAATACAGTAATACAAATGATATATGCTGTGATTAATCTGTAAATGCAGTAATACAGTAATACAAATGATATATGCTGGGATTAATCTGTAAATACAGTAATACAGTAATACAAATGCTATATGCTGGGATTAATCTGTAAATACAGTAATACAGTAATACAAATGATATATGCTGGCTAATTTATTTGCTTGTTGTTTCAGGCTGCTGATTTAACAAAACCTATAGACAAAAGAATATACAAGGGAACGTTTCCCACCTGTCATGACTTCAACAGTCTGTTGGTATCACCGGACAGTGTGCGCCTACTGGTGGGATTCACTGCTGGGCAGGTCCAGCTTATAGACCCAATCAAAAAGGAACTAGGAAAATTATATAATGAAGAGGTAGGTAGGATTCTCCTGGTCCAAACTTTGTTGTTAACTCTTTTCATATGCTGATATTTATTTGACTTGCATTGTAAAAAGATAGATCAATTTTTTTTTTACTTATGAAAAAGATGTCACTCTTTTTAGCATATAAAGATAACAGAGAGATGTCATTTTGCAATCTGTAATTGATATGTTTTATTTAATGAGCTCTACCTTTGTGTGAAAAGAAAATGTCAAGATTCTGAAATAAAGCGGTTGATATTATGTATAGTGAATGTCATGGTGGAAAAACCCACATTGTGTTGTATTTTGTTATATAACTTTTTTAGGTTTCAAAACTCATGTTTTGTTGTTTAACTTTGTACTTGCAGGCTACATGATCCTTTCTAAAATATGAAAAAAAAACAATAAATAAACACTTTCCAGTAAACAATTTATCCTGAGGATGATTAAGTCATTTTTAAACAAAAATATGGGATGTTCTAATGCTGATTTAACAATCAATTAACTTGGAAAAGGAAGATAACTCTCTGAAGAAGTGGTAGGGGAGAGGAACTCAACATATCATGACATAGATTGAAAAGGACTGTAGCATATTTATGTTGAAAATCAAATTACAGAAATGGGGACCCTACAGTATTATTGTTTGTCTAGGTATCTACCACTGATTTTGAGGTACAACATTCAGGTTTGGTATATTAAATAGTGACTTTTTGAATCCTCCTCTTTTGGTATAAGGTGATAGGTCATGGTGTTGTTATAAAGTTACCTGTAAGACCTGTCATTACCTTAACGGTTGGGCTGTTATATTTTCACTGCCAAATAAACATAGGTATTCTTGTTTTCTCACTTATAGGATTTTCATACCCTTCAATGAAAGAATTTGACAAAAAAAAAAAAAAAAAATTTGCAATCTGTGACAGGTATGTTATTAGTTGTTCAGTTTCAAAGTACATAATTGCTTAAAGTTGCCCATGATTTCACTTGGTGTAACATTTTTTCTAATAATGTGATAAATATTTTCATTTTCACAATGTTTATGTTTTTTTTACGGTAGAAGACACTTGCTGTGTTTTCCTGAACAGCAATTTGATTGGACTGTATTTGGAATAGTTCCTGCCCTATGTTGATTTCCTAATGCTAATCTTGACCGATGATCTCAACCAGTTTAACATGAGAATGGCATTTTAACCCAATATTATTCAGATTTCTGTATTTGTATTCATTTCACTACAATAAATTATGGATATTTCCTATGCATGGGCATGAGCAAATAATGTTCTGCCCCAAAGTACTCTGGTTTGTTTTCTTCAGTATTTTTAATCTTGTCAAGATATTTCCTTTCTCAGTTTTTAATCAATTTCTTTGGAACTTGGTAGGTTTTAAAACCATAACATGAGGTTGTGTTTTCAGTAGCAGCATTTTGATTAAGCAATATTTGAAAACCTTACTGCCCTTTTTTTTTGTAGCTTTTTCTCTTTTAAACTTGGTATGCTTTAATTTATCATCAAAACATATAGTTCTGCTTTCTCTTTCCCCGGCATTTTGACTGAATATTTTCATATTCATTTTAACATAATGTCATGAATATTTCTTTGGCATGGGATAAATATGTTAGACAATACAAAGCCTCATGGAGAAAGCAGGTAAAAATTGTATTAGTACCCATAATATTTCTAGCCTAAAAATAATTCAAGTGGAGACAATTTTCTCCCCATCTTTCCACCACCACCCCTTACCACCTAGATAGCAGGGGACAAAGTCACGGAAATAATTGGTAAATGTTCCAGTACACTTGTAATATCATTGTGATATAATGAGGTGACTTCTGATCAATACAATTAATTTTGTAATTTTAAATGTTTATGTAATTTGATTAGAAAAGATGATTTTCTTGATACTTCTAAAATGTAGTTAAACCACATTTTCATGTAGTTCTACTATAATAATTTCAGAACTCATGAGAGGGACGTGACAGGTAAACTTAGAACTAAATATTTTTCAGTTTCAAGTATAAAATTAGACCTGCTGTAGATGAAAATGTGTTCCAATTTCTCACTTTATTTCTAAATATTTTTCTGTTTCTTTGCTTCTTTTCAGCGACTGATTGACAAAACGAAAGTGACATCTATTCGATGGATACCTGGATCACCAAATCAGTTTTTAGTGTCACACGCGAGTGGTCAGATGTATGTATATAACGAGGAACTACCATGTGGTCCAACACCACCTCACTATCAACTCTTCAAACAGGGTGACGGGTTCGCTGTGTATACATGTAAGACAAAAAGCACACGGAACCCACTCTATAGGTGGGTGGTAGGACAAGGGGCAATCAATGAATTTGCCTTCTCGCCGTGTTGTAAATATCTGGCTGTGGTGAGCCAGGACGGCTACCTCAGAGTGTTTAATTATGATTCCATGGAATTATTGGGCTCCATGAAGAGTTACTTTGGGGGGCTTCTTTGTGTGTGTTGGTCTCCAGACAGCAAGTTCATTGTGATTGGTGGAGAAGATGATTTAGTGACGGTTTGGTCATTTCAGGAGAAAAGGGTTGTATGTAGAGGTCAAGGCCATAGGTCATGGGTAAGTGTTGTGGCCTTTGACCCTCACACATCAGTAGTTTGTGGTGTGGAAGGCAGTGAGTTCACATCAACAGATGAAGACATTCACAATGTAGCAAGCCACAACCCAAAGTGGGACATGCATGGCAGTGTGGCAAATGGGGGGACGCAAGGGTCAAATAGGAACTCTTTAGACTCCAGTAGAACTCCGTCACTTCCTAATAGTCCGGGGTCATCTTCCTGTATAACAACGTACAGATTTGGTTCTATAGGGCAGGATACCATGCTGTGCCTGTGGGATCTAACAGAAGACATTGTTAAACAACCAATCGGTAGGTCACGGACAAGTGTACTAATAACGGCCAACTCTACGCCTATGTCGGCCAATACATTACCCAGGTGCAACAGTGTGCAACATTCTCAAAAAATGAATTCAGTAGGAAGTAACGATGTTGCCGCTGATGGGCACGCACATCTGTTTGCTAATTCAACAGTGAACGCCACAACAAAATTTGCAACATTATCGGTAAGTGATAGCCGAAAGGAGTCCCAAGATAAAAAAGAACACAGAAGAAACTTCAGTCTAGCTAGTCGAAGTGATAAATCTAGTATACTGAAATCCAATCATGTTCGCCCTGTTGATGATGCAATGAAACTTTTAGGCACTTGCTCATGCCCCAGGCTGGACGAAGTGCCTATACTGGAACCGCTTGTGTGTAAAAAGGTGGCATCTGAACGTTTAACTGCACTGGAATTTAGGGATGATTGTATTGTGACTGCATGCCAAGAAGGTGTGGTTAATACATGGGCCAGACCTGGTAAAGTGGTAGGTATAATTCTTCATCTAAATTAAGGTCAGATAAATGAATCTGAGGCTGTAATGGACAACAATACACTTTTATTGTATATATAGCTATTATTTGGCAAAATATAGTGCTATATTCTGATGTTTGTGGCTGATGATTAACAATTGTCAGGCAGATATTTCAGAAGACAGAAATAGATAAATTCTCTCTATAAATGTATACGTATCTGATAAAGTACAGATCTAGGTCACAACTTACTTTACATTCCACACTACAAATCTAGGTCACAACTCTATATATATATGCCATACTACAAATCTGTATATATGCCACACTACTGATCTAGGTCACAACTCTCTATATATGCCACACTACAGATCTAGGTCACAACTCTCTATATATGCCACACTATGGATCTAGGTCACAACTCTATATATGCCACACTACAGATCTAGATCACAACTCTCTATTTATGCCACACTATGGATCTAGGTCACAAGTTACTTTACATTCCACACTACAAATCTAGGTCACAACTCTATATATATATGCCACACTATGGATCTAGGTCACAACTTATTTTACATTCCACACTACAAATCTAGGTCACAACTCTATATATATATGCCATACTACAAATCTGTATATATGCCACACTACTGATCTAGGTCACAACTCTCTATATATGCCACACTACAGATCTAGATCACAACTCTCTATTTATGCCACACTATGGATCTAGGTCACAACTCTATATATGCCACACTACAGATCTAGATCACAACTCTCTATTTATGCCACACTATGGATCTAGGTCACAACTTACTTTACATTCCACACTACAAATCTAGGTCACAACTCTATATATATATATGCCATACTACAAATCTGTATATATGCCACACTACTGATCTAGGTCACAACTCTCTATATATGCCACACTACAGATCTAGATCACAACTCTCTATTTATGCCACACTATGGATCTAGGTCACAACTCTCTATATATGCCACACAATGGATCTAGGTCACAACTCTATATATGCCACACTACAGATCTAGATCACAACTCTATATATATGCCATACTACAAATCTAGGTCATAACCCACTTTTTTATATGCCACGCTATGGATCTAGGTTGCAACTCTCTATATATGCCACACTTCAGATCTAGGTCACAACTCTCTATATATGCCACATAACAGAAAAAATAGAAAACCTGCTCGAGGATTACCTTATGTTGTCAATTGATTAGAGACATCTTTTGCTATGGATGTAATTAAGAAAGACATTGTCTCATAACAAAAGTAGTTCTATCTACAATTTGACCTTTGACTGTCATAACAGCAAGTAAGTCTGTAGTGCTTGTCTGTCCTGCTATATTTGCATTTGTGTAGGATCTCTAAGATTTACATTTTTGAAGACAATGTGTTACCTTTCAGAAAAGGATAAATACTTTATACTATTATACTTTCACTTGTTGTGTCATGAATATGTATGTCCATCCACAAGTATGAGAATGATTTCTTAAATATGGAAATGCTTGTATGGAGACTCTTGCAGCACTTGACAGATTTGTAACATTATTGAAATATTCAATGGTGAAAATTAGTTGATGTGATGATAAAGTTTTATACAGATAGGTAATTGTTTCACTTCCGGTATCATTTTCATGTAAGTCTATGTATCTTTTTTTATCCAGGGTCTAGCTCAGCATACTGTGATGAGTCCACAGGCATCTGTGGGAGGTAGGTATCATTTCACTGTTCATTAATTACTGATGGTCAGTCCTCAAGGACAGGTATAATCAACTACATAAAATGTCAAAATATTGCCACTCTTGTGCCTTCCTTTCTTCATGGATTTTGAACGCATTTAATTTTATAGATCAGCTGTGACATTAGCTCAGTCAGATTATAGTATACACAGGGTTCAGAGGTAAAGGTCACCTTTACTTGTACCCAGTACATCGAAACATTGATCATACTTGTATGCTTTGGAATTGGGGGCCCCGTTCTTGTCTTGCAAAAATGTCCTGGATTTATTTTATGATATTTGGTAGACCTTAATTATGAAGTTGTTGGCTAGCCTGCTGCTATTACAGATCACAGCTCTGTGATAATGACCGGGCTTTGTAAGTCTCATGCCTTTGGTATAAGATTGCAAATTGAATCAGGTACATTGAAAGGCATACGCACACTGTTTCCAAGGCAACTGATTAAAGGTTATGGTCTATTATAAAAGAAAAAATTGGTATTTGTCTTGTCATATTATCTTATATATGAGTGGGAAAATATCAGTTTACTGGAGTTAAGATGGTGACACTCTATATATCAATGCCTCTGTGTTTAACTCACAGCTGTATCCATGTATATCAAAAACAACCAACGTCTCTGTGTTTAACTCACAGCCATATCTATAGTCAACATCTCTGTTTAACTCACAGCTGTATCTATATATCAACGTCTCTGTGTTTAACTCACAGCTGTATCTATATATCAATGTCTGTGTTTAACTCACAGCTGTATCTATATATCAACATCTCTGTTTAACTCACAGCTGTATCTATAACAAACATCTTTGTTTAACTCACAGCTGTATCTATAGCCAACATCTCTGTGTTTAACTCACAGCTGTATCTATATATCAACATCTCTGTTTAACTCACAGCTGTATCTATAACAAACATCTCTGTTTAACTCGCAGCCATATCTATAGCCAACATCTCTGTGTGTTCATCTGTGTTTAACTCACAGCTGTATCTATAGCCAACATCTCTGTGTTTAACTCACAGCTGTATCTATAGCCAACATCTGTGTTTAACTCACAGCTGTATCTATAACCAACATCTCTGTTTAACTCACAGCTGTATCTATAGCCAACATCTCTGTGTTTAACTCACAGCTGTATCTATAACCAACATCTCTGTTTAACTCACAGCTGTATCTATAACCAACATCTGTGTTTAACTCACAGCTGTATCTATAACCAACATCTCTGTTTAACTCACAGCTGTATCTATAACCAACATCTCTGTTTAACTCACAGCTGTATCTATAACCAACATCTCTGTTTAACTCACAGCTGTATCTATAACCAACATCTCTGTTTAACTCACAGCTGTATCTATAACCAACATCTCTGTTTAACTCACAGCTGTATCTATAACCAACATCTGTGTTTAACTCACAGCTGTATCTATAACCAACATCTCTGTTTAACTCACAGCTGTATCTATAGCCAACATCTGTGTTTAACTCACAGCTGTATCTATAACCAACATCTGTGTTTAACTCACAGCTGTATCTATAACCAACATCTCTGTTTAACTCACAGCTGTATCTATAACCAACATCTCTGTTTAACTCACAGCTGTATCTATAACCAACATCTGTGTTTAACTCACAGCTGTATCTATAACCAACATCTCTGTGTTTAACTCACAGCTGTATCTATAACCAACATCTGTGTTTAACTCACAGCTGTATCTATAACCAACATCTCTGTTTAACTCACAGCTGTATCTATAACCAACATCTGTGTTTAACTCACAGCTGTATCTATAACCAACATCTCTGTTTAACTCACAGCTGTATCTATAACCAACATCTCTGTGTTTAACTCACAGCTGTATCTATAACCAACATCTCTGTTTAACTCACAGCTGTATCTATAGCCAACATCTGTGTTTAACTCACAGCTGTATCTATAACCAACATCTCTGTTTAACTCACAGCTGTATCTATAACCAACATCTCTGTGTTTAACTCACAGCTGTATCTATAGCCAACATCTCTGTTTAACTCACAGCTGTATCTATAACCAACATCTGTGTTTAACTCACAGCTGTATCTATAACCAACATCTCTGTTTTTATCTCACAGCTGTATCTATAACCAACATCTCTGTTTTTATCTCACATCTGTATTTATGTATCTCAAAAACAATTTTGATTCCTAATTAATGGTATCGTTTATAGTCTGATTGGTTTGTTGTTGACCAAATTTGTTACTTTCACTGCTCATAGTATATATATTGATTTATAGTGTGTAGGGTAGTAGATGGAGTGTTACATGTCTACAGCCAAGTCCATCAACATCATGAGTGACTGCAAAATGTTTTGTAATGCAATCATGTTTTCAGTAATTTCATGAATCAAATTTTCGAAATAGAATAATTTCTTTAGTTAATTTGTAATATTGATGATTTTTTTTTTGTGTAAAGCTGATGTGAATTTATTTAGATAAAAAAGTGGTTTTCATTGCGGATATACCAGGGGAAATAATTACATTAAATTCTGTTATTATCAACTTATAAATTTTTTTCATTTGGAAGCAGCCTTACACATCACACATGCATGATTCTGTATGCTATAGTGGGATACATATTTTTCAGAAATCCTTGGAAAAATCAATTCACATGATAAATTCATAGTTTCAAGGTTCAAGTGAACATTATTCATTATTGATTTCTTGACATATAGGAATTCTGTTTGTTAAATTTAAATAGTTTTATTTATACCTGTATTAAGTTCTTTCTGTGTGGTTCAGTGGCATACAGCCATGTACCAGTCATGTCCTCCAGATGTATTCTTATATGCTATCAGCTGCCTTTTAAGCTTGTGAAATATTTTGTTTACTACGTAATAGCCAAATGGGTATTGATTCTTGCAGTCATATGTACCATCTGATATAAAAGTAAACCAGACTAACCATCTCTGTCTAGCAGTAGGCCTGCTAATAAGTCACTCAGAAAAGTTGATATTCAGTAAATGGTACAATTGTTAATCTATCTTATTTGTATGTAATAAGTATATTCTAGATTTTGAGAAAGAAGATATATGTTGCTCCCCCCCTGTCCCACCCCACCCTCACTTGAAGAATATAAAAGTCAAGTAGCATTAATACCCATATAAGTATTGGTATGTCTCAGTATTATTTCAATAATGAGGATACATGTGGCTGTGTTCCCCCTTTTATGTTGAAGCTTGAGGTACATTGTACCCCAAACCATGTTTTCATATAGGAGAGTCCTTGAAAATTGTGGCTATATGTCTTGAATTTTACAAATTTAGGGTGTTTTGTACCTCATTCAGGGAACAATGTGTTGCTTCTATGAAAACACTTTCTTGTGATTTTGAAATCATTTACTTCATCAAGTAGAAAGTAATTGTAACTCTTTGTTTCTGTGTTTGTATTTGCAGAAATGTATCCCATGTAGCAAAACAAAAATAAAAGAGAACCTCTAACACAAGTGAGGGATTGTCATTTGTGCAGTCCATCTCGGCATGCATTCTGACCTCTAGGAGTGAATGATGACCAACAACAGACAAACTGGTGTCTTGTCATGGTGGCTACTGCAATGTTGTGTCCCAAATTTCAAAGGTCATCGTCTGGTTGAATCTGAATGCTTCATAAGCGCGGTGTTTATGTGACCTGAAGAAGGATTGGGTTCAGGGGCAATGAAGGATATGGAAGGTCAAGGTTGTGTAGCTTTGATGAAATCCTTTCAGGAGCAGACAGTGACTGTGTGACAGAAGAATTTCCTTCTTGGCTTGGCTGCTACAAAAATGTGCATCCTGGTGACCTAAATCTTCTGCTCAAAACACCTAGCATGACTGTAAGTGATTAGAGCACCCATAGGTCTCCATATTTACGTCTGTGACTGATTGATATATTACCTCTTTACAGTACACAGAGTGTCATGGAGTTGTGAAGACATGTACACTCAAGAAGTATTACATTTCCTCAGTTAGGTTTCCATTTCATAGCAAATTGGGCATTTATTCATTAAGGTGAAAGAGATCAGATTTTCTGTTTTAACTTTCTCAATTGTTCACTGACATGATCTGATTAGTCATTTGGCTGTGGTGTGTCATCCATGTCATCAACTTTCCTATTAACTCCCTAGGCAGAATAGGTTAAGGCATTGAGACTTTCATCATTTCTGGGCAAAGAGAATTTGAAGTTTATACATAGATTAGAGCAAGCAGACCCTCCTCCTTGTCTAGTCTGGTTTATCATGGTTTATATAAATGAGTTATTCCCACACTGCTCTGAACCTTCTCCCAGTGGAGCCCAAAAAAGGAAGTATGTATTGATTTCCGAAGAATATTCACTAAATGATGATTATGAGGGACATTGAATGAATCTAAAACTGTTATAGAATGTTAACAGAATTTGTTGAAAATCAATATCACCAGTGTCTGCCCTGGTTCTGTTTCTATCATTCAGGTTATGATAAAAGTCATTATTCAATTGTTCATGCTGTGTCCTTGACTACATGTTGCTAAACATCTTTACCATTTCTTATGATAAACAGGAAAGTTGAGTGTCACAGGTCAGATGGGACTATCATTCAAAATCTTGATTAAAAACTATGGGAAGTGGCCAGTTTCTAGCATTTATATTATCATAAGGTAAAATATATCTTTCAAATGAAGAGAGATATTATCTCACCTGGATTTAAGATGTGATGTAATGTTTTAAGTACCAAGGAAGTAGAATTTGAAAAAGAAATGTGGACGTTTTGATGGTAAGATGTAGTACAAATATAAATGTCAGTCATGTACCGAGTAGGTCTAAAACTTAATGATTTTCTGGTGAACTGGTTTGAACAGATCTATGGTTATTTTTCCAAATACCTGCTCTGGTCCTGTTGTAGATTCATTGTCTTCAATTCCTCAGGAACAATGTTCTTTACAATAATGATCTATTTACACATATACAGTTAGAAAAATACATTACTACAGAAGTGTTGGAATAAAGACCTCTAGAAAACCTTATTAGAATTTCAAGGTATTTGTTTGAAATATCAATAGCTTTCACATGGAATTCTAGCCTTTCAGTAGATTTGCTATCGGAATTTACTTTGACATCAAGGCAATGTACTGTACTTGAAAAGTCAAATCAGTAATTATTTTTTCATTTTCTTCATTTAAAACCCATCTTCCACAGGAGTTGAATTAGTTGAGTAGACACCATTTTTACAAAAAGGAAGAAATTTACTTTTATAGCAACTCCCAGACAAAAAAATACATGGAACATCTTTCCATCATATTATATTCCTGCTATATTAGCGTAAATGGATTTTTGTCCTGTACAGCTTATAAGCTTAACAGCAGAAAAAGTTCTGGTTTCACCTCTTCATGTGAAGGGAAGATAACTTTTGGTATAGTGCTAATGAAAAAGTCCTGTGTTAACATTGTTATCTTTGGACGCAGTGTACATATATATATATACTGACGATTGTGATCAAAATGCCTCCCAAGGGGGATAACTCTTCAATTACAATATGAAGAACAGGATCTTCTATAGTGTCATAGTGTCTGTGATAGTTCGCTCTGTTCAGATGCAATTTCAGAGAGCTTCGCAGAAGATCTCCCTCGTTTTGTACAGCTGAAATATATTGTGGTACATCCTGTTACAATTTCCCCATTATACTGTGATTTATATTGTAACAAATGAGAATGCTGTGTGGTTGTTATATGAAATGTTTTCCTTTCTTTTTTTTCTTTTTTTTATAGATTGGATGCCAGTGATGTATGCCAGTGATGTACTGATGTATTGAATCAGTTATTGTTGAATGAGTTTGTTAATGAAGGCATACATGTTGTGTTAATAGTGCTATAGAAGTTGTGTGTGTGTGTATGAACTTCTGTGGGATCCCCACAAGCAATACCGGAATTTTTTTTGTATGCTTAATTATCGTCATTTCTTCATCGTATAGAACAATACATCATATTATTGTAATAACTTTATCACCCATCATTGATATTTTCCTTTTTTTTTTTTTTTATTATTATTATTGTTTTAAAGTATGGAAATTCTTTTTATCTTTTCCTCAATTAGGAGGAGGGGTGGGGGAGGGAACTTCAAAAATGATTTTCAGTTTTACTGTTAATCCAGAGAAATTAAAATGAGTAAAGAAAGAAGTTGCTATATTCAATCTCCTCTTATAATGATACATGTTACAGAAATATTGAAAATGCAAACAAATTCAAACTAGAGATGGCTTTTTTTTTTATTTTTAAAGAAATTTGCAAAAAAACTAGTGGATTCTAGAATGACATCTTCTAAATCATTATAAAATGTACTACCTCTGTATCAAATATTCCATAATATATTTATATAGTATAATAAAATAGGAAGTAGTCTACACAGTAGTTTATTTTAAATATAAGCAGAAAGTAAACCTGACAAGTATTTCATAGTCTGTATGGCTTCGTGGATAATGTTTTCTTTATCATCAACTACTACTAGTTTTCTAATCATTCTGTTTAAAGGGTTATCTTCACTTAATCCTAGTGACTAGATTTGTTAAAAAAGGGAAAGAAAACCTAGAATCAGTGTCCCTTTAAACAGTTAAAGTGTTCTGTTGGCTTGATTAATGAGACTTGGCTGTCAGTGACTTTGATGTAAGTAGTGTATTAGCTATGTTGAAATCCTTGTTTTGACTGTTACAGAGATCCTATGGTATAAACCTGAACTCAACACCAAAGATTTCTTTTACAACCTTAGTTCATTATTTGGAAACATTTTATTTTCGTAACAAATGAATGTGCTGTTTGTAAACAAGGTATGACAAGATTTAATATCTTTAGCAATGCTCCAAAGAAATTCTTACTTTTTGTTAAATATATTGATATAGGATATTAAAGTTGTAAGAAAAAAATGACAATTTTTAAGGTAAGATAAACTTATCCTGAAATAGGCCAAGGGGCCAGCATACAAATGGTGACACAAAATTTGGGATAGGCTTATTGCAGGACAGTTGATAAAGCATTTGTTTGTTTCTATATATCAGTAGACATGGGCGGGCTTATTAATAGGCATTCTTTCATTGCTGGATATACATTAGATGTGTTATTTTGTATAAAGAAATTTATGATCAAAAGTTTATCAATAGGAAGTGTAAAGATCTTATTTCATGTCCATCTAGTGCCATAATGCTATTTTAAAATGCTGAATGATATTGCAGCATTTAAGGTGATGTAATGGAATTTTTTACTTTAAAAAAAAAAAGATATTAAAAGAAATTGGTTGATCTGGTTATTTGGGTGGGTGGAATGGGATGTTGTCATTTGGATGGTTGATACCAGATAGAAATCCTTTTTCTTTATGTAGTAGGTTTTTGGTTTTTTGCTAGAATAAAATATCTCTATTATGTCTGACTTGTGCATAATGACACTGTAATGAAATTAGTCCGACTTGTATGTGGGGACATAACACTAACAAAGCCATACACTGGTTGTCATGGAGAAACATAACAACAGCTGGTTGATACTTGTCATGTATAGAAATCTTACCATTATATGTGAAACTATAATCACACGTAGTTTGTCAGTGAAACTTGTGGGTTTAAATGAAAATGAGTGTTTTAAGTGTCATCATCTAAATTTTACATCTGATACATAATTGTTTTTCTTCTTCAAGTGGTATTAATTGTCCGGTATGTGCAATGAATAGGAGTTACAATGTATTTCTGTCATTGTAGAATTACAAAGGAATTTGTATATTTTGATTAATTTTGTTGTTAAGTATTACACTTAGTATTCATGAAACAATTCAATAACACACATTATAATGCAGACAAAATTTATTAAAAAATAATCTTTCATTTTTACCAAGAGATAATGTGTATGTTTCAATAACCCATTTCACATTGTCTGATTCAAGTAAACAGGTTTAAATCACTTTTTGTGTTGAATTCATTGACACTCATTGCAAATCAGCAATGTGACATATATATGAAAGTTCTTGTGAAAGGAAGGGAAAAAGAAACTATGTAAATTATCTTGAATGAATTATGAGACAATATTGAAAGAAATCAATTCTGAATGATATTCTTCCCTATTTGAATATATCAGAAAAAAATCAGGGCAAATGTTTATCTCCCTTGTGTTTTCTAGGACAATAATATCTTGACCAATTTTGATGTCTATTTTTTTTTCCCAAACAGGTTAAGAAGACATATGTTTACTAACACTTTGTCATATGTTATGAATTTTTTTTATGTACATAAACATTGTACACAAGTGCCACATGATGAAGCAGGTACTTCAGCTCTCTGTAACACTCTGCTGATGTCGCAACTTACCTGGTAAAACATTTTGTCAAGGCTGTCAGTACTGTCATGACATTGGCAAATATGATTATGTAGATAGATTTCTGCATCTTTCTAATGTTGAAGATTTTAACCAGAATGTCATTTAAATTTCAAATTTGTTTGAATGATTCAATACAGGCCTTTCACAAGTATGTTTCTGTGTTAAAGCTTACAAATATAGGATAGAAGGCATTTTTAACCTTTTAACACAGTTTAAAACTCCATTAGCTTTATCTACAAATATATTGATTTAAAGATAAAACTGTAAGGACACATTTCTGGCAGAGAAGTGAAGATTAAGTATTGTTCTCTAAAGAAAATAACAATTGGAAATTTCACCGTTAATAATTCTTGTTTGTTTGCTGTGGGAAAATATGAAAATGTGAATTTCCTCACAGGAAACCAACATATCATGTTGAAGACTGTGTCGTGTTGATGGCCAGGAAACCTATTATTATGTTGTTATAATAAAGGCGCAGATGTGATAAACTTTTATAATCATGTGATGTGTGTGATAGTGAGGCTTGTGTATGTCATGTGACCTGGTCATGTGATAAGATATGAATTGTAGGTACATTTGTGACATGTGAGAATTAGACTGATATTTATATTGCTTGTATGTATCATGTTTCTTTTTTAAAACAAAAGACATCACAAAAGTTGTGAACATGTTCACGTAATCTTTATGCACTGACTCTGGTGAGACCATTTGTCCCTAAGAATTGAGAAGCCCTTATCTCCTTGTTGTGTTTCCTGGGATCGCGACCAATCGTGTAAATAGTTTTAAACCAACTTATAGTTATGGATTTATTGCAGAATATCATCTAAAGGCTTCTCCTGGACCTAGTTTATAAAGAAAGTAAAAATTCTTATAATCAATTTCTCGTCTGTTCTTTTTTGTGTCGTACTATATTCATTGTGGGTGCCACCAATTGACTTGCTGGTTCCAGAATTTGTATTGTCGCCCCACATCGACTTAATAGTCACAGAATTTGTATTGTCGCCCTACATCGACTTAATAGTCACAGAATTTGTATTGCTGTCGCACCACATCGACTTAATAGTCACCGAATTTGTATTGATGTCGCCCCATATCGACTTAATAGTCACAGAATTTGTATTGATGTCGCCCCACATCGACTTAATAGTCACAGAATTTGTATTGCTGTCGCCCCACATAGACCTAATAGTCACATAATTTGTATTGCTGTCGCCCCACATCGACTTAATAGTCACAGAATTTGTATTGCTGTCGCCCCACATCGACTTAATAGTCACAGAATTTGTATTGATGTCGCCCCACATCGACTTAGTCACAGAATTTGTATTGCTGTCGCCCATCATAGTCATATTGTACAATGTCTATTGTAATTTGTATTGTGATAGCAGCCATATATGATAAGTCTTGATTGCTGAGAAAAAAATCGTCAGCAATGTTGACGCCTGACTCACGGGCCGGGTAAGCTAAAAATTAAGACTTGTAAACGGTAAGAAAAATATGTATCGTTATATGCTTGGTGTATAGAGTCCAGAGTTTGTCCATGGCTGATGTGTCGATATCGACTCGCCATGACGGGCTGGACTTCACGGACATGACACAACTCTTTGGAGCAAAAGCGTTGATGTAAATATTTGGTATACGAAAGTGTAAAATTTGTTTGAATTTGGTCATAGAGTTATATTTTATCGGCAGCGTATTCAACAGTCGATATAGACTTCGATATATCTATGGCAAACCCTTTCAATTTGTATGCCATATAGGCTTTCAGAGTCTAGTCTTGAATTGAATTTAGCGGAGCGTTCTCTGCTCTGCTAAGTGAAATAGCCATGGCGTTTTCAATGAACATTCTCGCTATCGGTCCGAAGTTCTTACTATCAACGATATTATTTTTGTCTGGGACAAGAACAAATGAAAGCGCGGATAGATAGAAGCGCTATATGAACGATTAGATTCTCTAGAACTGAGCAATGAACATGTTCCAGGTGACCGATTAATCACGGTTGATGTGAAGTTATATTGTTTGACCAGAGCATACAAGTTCCTGGTTTCACTTTCACTATTTATTTTCGAAAATTCCCTGGTTTTGACATCAGTTGAAGTCTGATAATACTGTCTACACATAAGTACATTTTTACTAATAACAGGATTGATATTTTATACTCTTTGTTATAATTCCTTTTCTTTCTTAAAAGACTGTTAGCTGGTCGCTTTAATGTTTTGTTCCCTCATACTATGACGTTTCTACCACCCTGACAGCGAATTGACTACGTGTAGTTTGTGCCGCTTCAGTCGTTAAATGCAAAACACTAGGACAATAGCTATCTGGTTTTGTTGTAGTGTAATTGTCAGAATAACTTATAAATCATTGACTTGTGAAAACTGGCACTGACAAATGGTAATAAGATCACGGTCGCTGACATTGGGGACCAACAACCATTTACTTTTCAATAAAACCTGTCTGAGTTATGATAGTGTTCAGTTTTATCGCTTGACACGAACAATAAACGTAATACAGATCATGTCTCCCTTTTATTATTATTATATTATATAATTATCTGACAGAATAAATCTCCCAAGCATAACACATTACCTGTTCGTCGGTATTATTCAATAATAAGCTGCCGTGAACAGACAGTATTATTTTGTAAGCTGCCGAACCATCGGCCATGCTGATATGATACTCGAGATTTAAATAGCGACGCCTCACAACTATTGACGGGATGTTACAGTTGTCTGGCACAATTCATCAGTCCTGTTCATCCTTAACTTTTGTTTGTCCCGAGGTATTCTCTCCCACTTCTGTAACTTGGTAAGCTTTGCCACCAAACACTATGTTATCATTTCTGAGTGGAATTTATATTCGACAAGTTTAAAAGTAGCTTTTGCCCTTTATTTTGTCCGCAACATCAACCTTGTCCGGACATTTTATGCGTTTTTTGACCGATTACAATGGACGGCATAATTTGATTTAATGATATTTGGAGAGTCGTTGCCTATTTATTGTTTTTCAGCAATTCAATCTGTTCACATTGTTTAACCAAATGTCTTTCTTCAAGGTTTGATAGGCTTAATCATAATCACAGGTCAGGCTTTTTATTAATGTTGCGTTTTGAGTGAACATAATCCAAACGGAATTGCCTTTCGCTTTTGCGTGATGGGAACGGAAAAATAAGTGTCAACACAAAATAATGTTATGGTTGGTTTAATATTAAAGATCAATGGTAATAACAGGAAAGATGACCAGTTCACGTCTGAAGTTTTAAGATCTTGTGAAATAGTCGCTAAACAACGGTCATTTCACTAGAACGGCGTAAAATTACAAGTATATCAATTAAGAATAAAAAACCACCTTTAACTATCAACAGTTTAATAAATAACAATAAACATAGAGTAAAAATACAAACAAAAATCACAGATAAACTTTTGGATTGACAACTTCTCGTTGTGACGTGCATTGCTCTTCACAAACCACGTGGACTGGACACTTGGCCATTTGTTACTGACCAATCACAGATCACGTGACTGAGAGCATGTCGTTAACCTTCGCCTGATGAAGTATGTATCCACTTCATGATATATTGGAGTTCCGGTTTTGGTGACGACTATGAAAGTGTTTCCTTGTATACGTCTCCAGAACGCTTGGTGTTTGATGACTAATTCTCAAATGGACAATAGGGTCTTATTCCATAGCTCTGAAACCGTCACACTCTTCATCCCACTAGGTGCGCATTATTGTTTGAAGGCGCCATGACAAAAGTTTGCCAACATTTCGTCATTCTTTAAATTCTGTATCCGGTCAACTTATTGAGGGTCATGATACCCTATCGCAGGGCCCGTGATGTTGCCTCGTTGTCGCGTGACCCGATCAACAGTTCCAGCAATCGGCTACTGAGACTCAGTCCTGGTTACTATGACCACTGATCGTGGCCTGAGAGTAATTATACCAGAGTACTTTTCCTGTGGAACAGCCTTTTGAAACTGTTCCATTTTCTTTTCTTTTTCAAAACTGGATCTGCGGTCGAGCGGATGGCCGTTCTAAAAATCTCTTGTAATCCTACCCCATCCAACGAGCTACATTCCATGTACTTTATTGCACCTAAACGCTTGGCCATCTTACGTCCCTGTTGTGTTGACACGCACGAATCTGTGATATCAATGACCGACCCACGCAGATCCGTCTGCGTGCCGACCAGGATGAAGGGCGTATTTGGGCGATATTCCCGTATCTCCGGCACCCACTTGGTACGGACGTTGTCCAGCGAATCTTTATCGTCCACAGCAAAACAGACAAGAAATATATCTGTGTCGTAGTACGACAATGTCCTCAATCGGTCGTACGTATCCTGGAACGAGGCAAAACAGGATTATAATACAGAGCTCTAGGAATGCAGTTATCATTTGGTGAATTAAAACGGCATTCAGTATTTTAGAAAAAGTATAGTTCATTGGAATTTAAGAGTTTTCTTGAGATAATGAGGACGTTTTCTGCATTAATTTGCTTTTGATGTTGTAAACAATGGAGATGCACTTCGACTGGTGGAAAATGTGTCGGTGTACATTGAATTTCGTATTTGTCAATACTATAATATAAAACAATACAAATGGACGTACCTGGCCTGCCGTATCCATTATCATCACGGACACCTCACCTTCGTCTTTTGGTACCGGCACTGTAAGGAAACAAAGGGAGTTAACTCATTGTGACACAATGGATGAAATATGTCGTAAGACAAGATTTATAACTTGATTCTTATCTTTTTTGTTTTGAAAGAGTTCTGTTTTTATCAGTACATGGTACGAGTAGTCAGTATCATATCAAATGGGATATTATCAGACGAACAATATTTAGTAAGCCACGCTGGATAAAAAATTCAATCGAAATAATTTCAGATTTTGTTTTCCTTTACATCTTTATCTTTAAGCATTAATTTAAATTATATCTTTCTTTTCTAATACTAATTATAGACATAGTCGATATCGATAAAGGAACGGACAGTCATGTTGCTTATTGTTTGCAACTTCAAACTTCAGGTCCTTGGTGCCTCGCCCATCTCGTATATATTTTTGAGAAACATTACGTAAGCTTGTATCCGGGATTATCTACTGAAATTTCATTCTAAATACCTAACTCTTCCTGGAAATTCGGATTTTGGATTTTTTCCCCCCAATTTTTGACAGGTGATGCTTCACACGACACTTGACAGTAACACAACTGGTTTGATGTTAAAGTTAATGTGATGTATTTCGATAGTACGTACATTACAGTTGTATAACGTATTGTTGTCTTCCTAGACAAAAACTTCTATTTACTAATTACAAAGGTCAAGTAGTTCTTTATTTTCCTCAGAAGTACATCAACAAAACATTTGTTGTCGAAACTATGGTGTTCATCATCATCATCATCATCGTCGTCGTCGTCGTTAAATCTAGGGCCTCTATGAATAACGGTATTCTGCCCTACAGACGAGAGCTTTTCACAAGTTGATACTTGGGCAAACATGAATTAGTGGGTAAAAATTTCTGCTATGTAACTTGTATCCAATGTTGTGGTATTTTCTACGGTCTGAGTATTACGTCCGCCTATAACACTAGTCACTGCACGTCTATAGAAACTATGTCGTCTGTGGTCGGTAACATCAGTGTTATGATGTGTGAAGACAGGCGATAACTGCCTATAACACGATATCTGAAAGGTGTGTGGACATTTTAAATACCGAGTGTCATAAGAGATAGATTATATCATCACATGAAAAAAATGACATGGAATTTGAAAATTTTGTTACATAAAGGGTTTGGGATCAACTGATTATTATGTTTCTTTGGGATGGTAATGCAAGGTATTTTCGTTACCGAGTTTCCACAGTGACTGGGGAAAAAATCATCACGACTTCAAAATAGTTCATTGTGATAAAGTCTATCCATCGGATGACCTATGTGTACTTATATATATATGCCCAGACTCTTCATGATTCATCTGACTCAATCTAAAGCAGATGTTGGAGATTTTAGCTGGAGATGATTTGAGATTTCCTGATCGTTATAACTGGTTTAACTCTGTAAATTGTGTGTACCGAATGACGGATGTGTCAAATCGATGGGTGGACGGACAGTTCACGGCAACGCCCCATGAGACAAGATTCTTATTTTCCATTTTAGTAAAAATTTACAATACAAAACATTGAGTATGAAAGTCAATGGAAATTTTTATGGTTAATTCACGAAATTTTTCAATAATACACTTAACCGCACATTTCCGACCCAGCAGGGGTAACCATCCCATCCCGAAAATGCCTCAAAATCTACTATTTGGGAAAGTTGATTCACACGCCTCCCTGTCCTGGTTAAGGATAATAAATATATTCCCTATTAAGATTTAAATATTCATTTTTAGTTATAAAGGAAGATACTTATAATATTCAACAATTATCGTTAGCAAGTAACATTATATAATCCCCTTTTGAAGTTCACGTTAAAACCCTCGGAGCTTCGATTTTTTGTCTTTTTATCTCGAACTCCTTCAGTCCAGTCGTAAATATGTGTACAACAGGACTTGTAACATTACGTAATGCCTAACATGGAATGCTTTACAGTAAAAAAAACCCTCGGCGTTTTGATATTGTTTACGATTAGAGGCGAAGAATATTCTCCATTCCCAGTTTTTTTTGTAGTAGGATACTTTTGTTGTGACTACGTGTTAGTCTACTCGTGGCAATCCTTTGGTAAAGTTAGAGCAGTGAAATTGTTGTAATTCCAGAATAATTACATTCTACATAAAACGACGACACTTGACTAAGAAGAATTAGGAACCGGCCGTTGGTATAGTCGATCTTAATACACAAATACCGGTGGTTTAAAAAAAAATTCTGTATAAGAATTGACCTTTGTCGCGTGTTTGTTTAGATAAACAATTAATTATATTCTAATTAACCAAATTATTCATCAATCTATTTATATATTTATGGTAAGTATATTGTCTTGATAAATCGTTATTGAAATATCAATAATTATACTACACGTTTTTATGAAACAATTAAAAAGTTTTTAATGAATTTGTAATGATATTCATTTAATTAAGGTTTCAGTGAAAATCTAGATATGACGTAAAACTTACCTGTGTAACTGTCGAAGCAGGTGGGTTGGTATTCCGTCAGAATCTTTCCAGTACTGTAACTGAGAACCATGCTGGTTTTCCCCACCCCTCCGTCCCCAACTACCACACACTTTACCTCCCCCTCCCCAGCAGCAAAACTATCCACCCCTTCACCGCGCTTTGTAACCATTTTGTTGGATTTCGATAACGTGCGTAAGCGTCGTCTGCTTTGAATCCCAGTATGAGACGGTACTGTCACAATTCACACATATATATGTAGTATTAATAGCCATGACACTGAGTATACCAGTCAATGCAGCACTGATGACGTCACTCACTTCAACACTTGACGCCCCGCCCACCTGTAGATTAAAGTATTACAAGTGTGATACTATTTATAGTTTCGATATAGAGATTTCTGTTATTTGGACTTTACACTTGGGACAGGACGAAATGTTGCATATCTTATGATAAACACTTCATATATAAAAAGATATTTTTAGATAAGGATTACGCCACATCATTCAAAAATTCATGGCTTTACACTGCCATTCCTACATAGATAAAAAAAAAATAAACACCTTTACAGATTTTGGACTTTCACATATCTAAATATTTTCACGAGTTTTATTTTAAAAAATGAAATTCTTTGTTTCCGAAAATAAATGAAGTATTGTCCTAAATTCTCGTCTTTATATGGCAACAGACATCGTTTATCTCGTGTTAATATTCAAGTACTAATCTCCATGATTCATTTTTTATATCATTGCCTTATTAGTGTCCCAAGTAAACCGGATATTCGATGCCGATATGATTCAACCCGTGACGGATATTAAATGGGATATATATCACTGTGTTCAAACAGTTTTACACGTGTATATCATAAACGATACACAGAAAACCATTTTTATCGCGTCGGTTTTGTATCACAAACGAATGAACGACTGACTGAATGAATGTATTAATAAATGAGTGAGTGAATGAATGAATGAATGAATGAATGCATGAATTAAAATTAATCTAGTCTAGAGACCGCCCAAATCGCAATAGGACGATCGGAGATAAAGTGGTTTTAACGAGCGTATCTGACGATAAGATAAAAATAAATCAAGACGAATCTCATAAAATAGTATTTGATTTTTCTGTTTCACAGATTTTCTCTGTTCTGTGACGAATCCCTGTCATTGACATATTTATCTGTTGATGATTTTAATGTTTAACATTTACCACTGAACCTATCTTATCCCCATAGATATACTGACCAAACCAAGTGTCCTGACACGTTAACTAACTAGTCCACCATCTGATGATAGTGGGCTCTTCAAATCGCCACACGTTCACGGCCTGTCCGTCCAGCCGTCCGTGAACACCTCTTGTGATCGCTATTTCTTGAGAAGTATTGGCTGGATCTTTCTCAGGTTTCATATTTATGTTCACCTTGGTCCCAAGTTTGATCTTTGTAAGTTTTGGGACTGATCAGAAGAAAAACAAAGTGGCTGACAGACAGATTACTTTCTCGGATCTTAACAAAGAAAGTTTGTTATCACTGTTTCTTGAGAGGTACTGGTAGGGTAGGCTCCACTTGGTTTCTAATTGTGATCGTTTAATCTTGGGACTGACGAGAAAAAGAAAATGACTGGCTCGCAGCCATCTAGGATTTTGACTATGAAATTTTGTAATCCCTATTTCTCAAAAATACTGGATAAATCCTTCACAAACTGGGCTTCCTTTGGTTCCTAGTTGTGCCTATCTGATTTTGGAATTAACGAGAAAAACAAAGTGATCTTGGATTTGTCAGTTTGAGATTATTATCACTTTTCTTAAGAGGAATTTTCAAATTTCAAATCATTCAGAGCAAAGGAAGTAAGAGACAAGGAAGTGAAAGTTCCGATTGTGAAGAACGGTAACGATCAAAGGATGGTTGGTGCCAACATCCCTCTCGGATCTCTTGTAGTTGTTAAATATGGCTTGGAACAAAAAGGAAGATACGTACAGGCAGAAATATTTTTCTTCCAATTTTCAACTGTTCGATTGAGTAAGTTTGAAATAGACATAAGTGTTCGTATCGTGTGCTATGCAGAGAGGATCTAGGTTAGTGACAGGAATTACATATGTGTTTTCTGATAATTCACGACCGCTGTCATTAAATTCTACACTCAAATTAACTGTTTGATTAGCATTTCCATATGCTCGGCTGTATTTACATATTAATGAATCATAAAAAATACTTTGTAGATCCATAAACAGAAGGACAAAGAAATAAACCTTACGAAAATAGCCCAGATCACTTCTGTTACAGGAACGAAAATCATCTGCAAGATATTAAAAGGTATCATATATTATAATTTTTGGAGATGAAGACAGAAGTTATATATCTTCAAAAGGTCAAGTGTATCAAATTAAAATTTCCCTTTAACTTTCTGTTTGGTATGAATAAATTAAAAGTTTTTTTTATTTTATTATCTATAGGAATATGTTATTTTGACAACGAGACAAATAATTAAAGAATGTCGGCATCGGGCACTAGAAAAAGACAAATAGCGATCGGCGCAATACATACAAAATTCATAATGGAACACACACGACACAGTCGAAATTCTGTGAAATATAAAGATGATATTGAATTAACTTTCATACACACACACACATATATATGTATTATGTTTACGTGTGATATAAATCTTTTTTACGTTAATATGATTTCCTGAAATTATATCAAGTCATGTCCTTATCAGACACCGCTGGGTCACGAACCTTAAATAACGTTTCTTTTATCTCGAGCTACAAGGAACTAAGTGATCCGAGTCGAGCTGCTCTAATCTGTATGTACCAGTTAGCATTTGTTCTAATAAAGACTGAACTTATCGAGAAACCCACAATTAAATGACCACAAATTCGGTTGATGTTGACCACAGACGCGCGCGCGATGCCCGTAGGCAGGGATATACATCCTTCTCCAAGTCAACTTCCTTCGCCTACTGACGTCACATACCTGGGATATGTTTTAATACACACGTCCACGCGCAGATTATAATTAGAGAGTGTATTTAACAAATCAGGTCAAGTCCTTCTGGTCAACTCGTCAAACCATTGGAATGCAGAGGAACAAAACACGTTCAGTTTTTAAGTCGTTGTTAATTTTAGTACCGAGGGACGTGAGAATTCGCACAGTGAGCACAACAGTCTGTAGAATGTATTCATAGACGTTTTAAACATAAATACGAAACATTGAACGATGGACAGAAATACCGTGTCATAGATGACAGTAACATAGACGAGAGGAAAAAAAATTATATTCTTCCTTTTCCAATGCTCAGTTGGGATATAAGGCAACGATTTGAAAAAAAAAAAAAAAAACAAGAAAGAAAAATTTTGTTACCCAATATGTCTTTTTAAAACACAGTAGGATAATTCCTGGTGCAGGTCGTTGTGATGCACTTACAGGTATATCGAAGCAGAATATTTTGAACAGAAAAGTCTGTCTTAATGAGAATTTATTTCTAGTTTATAGTTAGAATGGAAAACAAAAGGATTAAATGCACGAAAAACAACGTGGACTGTTGGGTGTTAAAACCCTTTGTACTTGTACAGGAAGATGTTAAATATGAATCATTATACATCATTATACCCCGTGAAAAGATGAGTGTCAGAATAAACCATCGTTCGATTTTTTTACAAACGAAGTTGTCATTGAACCAGCGAGACGAATCTGATATGGAATAAATAGACCAAAATCAACTAACAAATCGATAGAGATTGAGAGTTTTACTGCTGTCACGAGTACACGTATAGATACTGTCATTCCCATCGTAACGTGTCCCTCAGCGAATAGACGAAATAGCGATGGAGAAACTTGTATCCGTATGGGGGATTCCGTCATCTCTCAAATCTCCTCCATTTTTTATCAAAATATTGCACAAAAGACACGTTTAAAATTAGACACACTGTAGCCAAACTATGAATTAAAAATTAGCACGGTACAAGTACAGTGAGACTCTCAGTGGTATCGAGATTATGGTCCAAAATAGTTTGCAATGTACCAAAAAGGAAATGATTTGGGATGAAGAAAACAGGGGTTATCAACACCATGACATATTGATGAATGGTGACGATGCAGAAATGGAATTTAATTAAACTGGGAACAATTTACATAACGCTACTGTCAAACCAATATGCGGAAACTGCTATGTAAGTTATATACATATATATTAAGGGCGGTGTAGATTTCATGTGGTCGGATTTTTTCTGTGGTATGAATCTGTCTATCAGATTTCAACCCTGAGGCCAGTACAACAATGTCAGTAGCTTCCTTTGTCGAAAATAAATAAAACTAAATTTAAAATTAACAAAACTTGAAAGAACAAAGGCGATTTTTTATAGGTTTTAGTGTAGTGAACAATTGTTCAGTTACATATCTGTGCCTTGATCGATAAAGTCAAAATGTTCATGAAGTTTTAAAACAAACATTGTAGTATTTTGCACAATGACATAATTTTTTGTAAAGTTCTACTTTTTCCGTTTTCTCTAAACACACTTTCAACTATTAAGTTAAGATTAGCTTTAATGTACTGCGGATCAGTATATATCTTTTTTGTTGTTGTTGTTGTGTGTTTAACTAGTTTTACTCTCATTTCTATAAATATGCTTGTACACAACAGAGCATACATATACCCAGAAAAACCACACAATATGTTAAAGCGAAACGCAATTTTGATGAAACCACAATTTTAAGTGGTCCGGTACTAGGTAGACTCATCATACTAATTTCTTTCTCACGAGACGATGGTTTATGACGTAATAATAACAGAACTAATCAAGTTATGAAATGTATCGTTAATGGCTGGTCTTCCTGGTGCTTATATAATTACACCTATTGACACAGACATTGTCTATTGGTACTATATAACACTGGAGGTTTTAATGTTCAACATTTAACAAAGGAATATATTAAAACCTCTCATCTCAATATAAATTAGATTTTAAAAAAAATGTTATCCATTTTCTGACATGCCGTGACTGTGGTATGATCTATATCACCCAACAGATTGCATCTTTTTTTTTTGAAATATTTACGCACGTTATTTTAGGAATGTATGTTGTCATTGCAGTTTTTTTAATAACAAAAAGTACAAACGTGACACGTGTCCAAAGCTAGCTGGTTTTCGTGCACGGTTAAGTCAGTGTGAATTGTAAGCGATAATTAAGTGACATAGTGTGAAGTCTAGCGATAACATTCCGTCAGT